TTTGGGTGGGGGCACTTTTAATGCTAATGAGCTGGTCAGAAATTCTCACTTGAATTAGTGGTCTGCTCCCTTACATCGACCCCAAGCTCCTATCAGGAACTATACCGCACCACCAATTAGCCCCTTAACCTACCGAGCCCCTCAATGACACACGCACCACTGGGCCTTAATTAGGCACAGTCACACACTAGGCTAGACTTTAACCCTTGCACAGGATTCTTGACTCTAAGCTTAAGGATCAGCACGACGACTAAACCTTGCCTGCGCGCGCCTTTACAATGTATAGCCTTCGTGTTGCTGCGACCACGCCCGTGCACACGCTCACGTGACCAAGCAGTGACCTCCGCTGCCCTATCGCACAAGGCGGAGCCTATGCGCCGCGCTCGCTTAACACTCAGCTAGCTATATGTGTGCTTAACATCTGCCTGTAAACGTTACTGGGCAGAGCGCCATCTATAACTTCGCACCGCGCCTAGCGCCCTCTGTTACGTCACATTTTTTTAATCAAATCTCCCCTTGGCAAAAAGCACCATGCATGGGCTACAATAATGCATTATTGTAGCCCATGCATGGTGCTTTTTGCCAAGGGGAGATTTGATTGTCTGGCCCTCACGCACGGGATGGGACCAACGGCAAACGAGCTCGAGCACTATCACAATGTTCCAAGCCACGTACGGTTATAAAACTCGGACCATAAAATCATACATACGATCGCGAATGGGTGCTCCCCATCCCACTGCAGTGGGCCAGATTCCCCCCAACGCCTTGGCCAAGGCTAAGAGCAAGATTATCCAGGAAGCCGACTTGGAGATCAATGTACAGGAATACATGCGCACAACATCTATAGTGTTCGTTTATGAGGGGCGCTTAAGACAAACGACAACCCCCATACGGGCCTACATGTAAGGTACAGGGGGTGATCGCGTGTGGGGTTCATTTTCCTGGCAAAAGTACCCGACAACTTTGCGAAGAACAACTTGCACAATAGGCCTACCGCCAAATAGGGACCTAAGGTACAAGAAGTGAGTTGATTTGTATTTCATAAGGCCTGCCACTGGGAGAAACACGGAATACATTCATTTTTCAGACCAGGATGTTGATAAAAATGATTTAAAGGATGCATTTCAAGCTGAAACATTTTATTTGGTCCTTACAAAATAATTCTAAAGAATGCATTTGACATTGTCAGTCTTTGTAGAAAATGGTAAAAAAATACACATCTAATACTAGCTAAGCAAAACTTATTTACTGAAAGACATAGTTCAACTATATTTACCATCACCAATATACAGATGCACCATCAAATTCATAAATTCTTCAGAAAAGCGAGCAGAATACAGCAGTTCCAGTTTAAGTACATGTAAAAGAATGGAACTGCTTCGAAATTTAGACAAAAAAGAAAGGAATGTAAGACAAACCCTTTAGAGATCCATTCCATACCCTCCTCAAATTGTACAAAGAATAACAATCCAATATAACCACATGCATTTTCACAATGTTTAACAAGTTAATTTCACATTTCTTTAAAATAGCACTTTTTAATAGAAAAATGGCTTTGGTACAAAAATATGGAAAAATTTTGTTCACCACCGTAAAGTTCACCTTTAATTAATAGCTCCAGGTGGAAATCAGGAATGACAATGCTTTGGAATGTCCTGAATCCAATTCATTCGTTTAAACAAAAATTTTGCAATGGAATTACAGAAATACATGTACAAAATTCCAATTGCAGTTTAGATCAAATAAGCCATTATCTGACAACAGATAAAGAAAACCCATCAATTGAGTAATATTGTCTACTTGTTTCAGACATTTCCACAAATTAAAACAAAATTCATTGTTCTTCATTTAGAATCACTGAAAAAGGCATAACAGTAAATTAAATAAACAATGAACTTCAATGTCTGTCCAAGATAGTTTTTCTAAAGTGTAAGTTTTTGTCTTTCTTCCCCAAACAAAATATCCTTCGTCACCCATACAATGGGGTAAAGTTGGCCAACTTAGGACAATAAAATGTAAGAGCCCTTTTTATGACCGAATCTACTCTTACAGACAAATCCAGCCACATGAAAATGGTGCACCTGGGAAGGCTCCTTAAAATGTAATAACATTGCAAATACTGCACTTACACAACTTGACTGTACGATATCAATTTTGGTAACACTGGAATGATTTAATGATGTACAGTTGACTCTCTTTATAAAGAACACGGTTATAACAAAATGAACAGATTTTGAGAATTCCACTTTCTTGAATTTTTGTTTTTCTTTTTTTCATCTCCTCTAATGACGAAGTTCTGGTTTAATAAAATAGTAATTCACATGGTCCCTCTAACTATCTTAAATAATGAGAATCAACTGTACATCTAAAATCAATGAATCTGATTACACCATTTATTTTAGAAGAAGTACTGAAATTAGACCCTGAATATGCACTTCGCGTTAGCAGTTATCCTTTGAAAGCAAGACTGCATTACAGTGTATTTACTTTAAAAAGTTTTACAGTAGAAAAGTACTCCACAGCTGACTTTGTTTTTCAATGTCCATCTGTAGGCTTGAATACATTTCCATCTTTGACCTGGACAGTTGCACAGCAGGAAGAAGGAAAGGACACACAGGACAGAATGGAAACGATAGATGGACAGCAAGAGGAAGAAAACTATCCAAGAATGCCAAGCACAGAACAATGTTAGTTGGAGACATGGTAATAGGAGTATTGCTGGGCCAATTCAAAGGGGGATTTGCCACTAAATTACCTATGGATCCAGTTTTTTTTTTCTCCTGCTACTGTTCTCCATCTGTTTGTTGCTTATCTGAGCACTAGTGATTTTCAAAAAAGATAGGTGGCACAAAAAGTACTGGATATCATCATTTGACACATGGGGGCAATGTTCAATGCTGACAGCTTGGGACAACAGGCAGAACCCAGGATACAATGTGGAATTACTTGGCAACAGTTAACTGAATTTTCCAGAATGAGTTTGCCGACTTAAAACATAATGAGAGATGTCATGCCCATCACATCCCCACTCCTCTTTTAGCAGTTAACAATGCCCCTTGTTCAGCATTGTTAGGCAGAACCCCTGTTAGTGAGTGAAAAGGAAGCAGAATAGCCCAAATCTATACATGTAGATAGAATTTGACCTGTTCTTGCAGAGACAAGACAGTTGCAAAAATATATATAGATATGCAGTGAACATGGACCAACAAATATCAAGTGAGCTTTAGGATAGGTCCATATTAGTCTCTTCTTCAAGAGGAAACATGCCGTTTTGTGAGCTCTAAGCTTTTTTAGAACTCAACATTATCATACACTTAATTGTTAGTCTGGCTAGTCGAGAGGTAAGGTTATTCTGGTGACTGTTTTACAGCCTGAAGGAAAACCACAAATATGTCACAACAAAGGAGGGAAGGGTTCATGTGCATTTGTGTCGCTGTAAAGGATTGCCAGCTAAGATTTATTGTATGGCTGGAATTTCATCAAAAGGTAAAAAAAAAAAAACCATTTAAGGGCAGTCTCACAATTCAGTGTGCTGGTGGGGTGTAGGAAATTCTGCCTCTGAGAGGTGGTCATTGGTGTCAAGGTCATGCATCCGCATGAGTCCCTCGATCACTTGGTGCATGTCATCCTCTGTCATTCCCTCTGGGGCTTGCTTGGCAAAGAAACTCTTCAGCTGATGCCAGGGTGGAGGGGCAGAAAGAGTTGATGGTCCAAAAAGAGAGGGTGAGGGAATGGGGGTATGGGCCGATAGGCAGAGGGGTAGAGCGAATAGGGCGTTGGATGGTTGGTTACATGAATGGATGGACGGACATGGATGGATGAGCGATGGATTTGGTACATGTATAATTGGTAAGGGCCGGATGGCAAATGTTACACATGAAAGAAATGGCATCCAGGCATGTGAAAACAAGTAAGAGGGAGAATTTGGAATGGTGAAGGGTGAGGAAAAAGGAAGGAATGATTAATTGTTGAAGCACGATAATGTCGAAGAAAAGGAAATAACACATACACATACATGTAAAAACATTCAAAATTCATCATGATTAAACTTGGGCCCTTGAAATTCATTATAAGATATAAAATTGTCTTTGTCTTTGTCCTGATATTCAAATAATTTTTCTACATCATCATTGGCTTCCCCAAAAAACTGCTCTATCTGTGAATGATGAAGGATGCAATACGGAGAGATTATTAGGGAGGATCAAGTGTGGTAGGATAACAGTAGGTGATGTTGATGTTGTCAAGGTGTTGTTAATGGCGGCAATGGTAAGTAATGACAGTAAGATTATTAGGACCGTCATGGTTAAAAGAAAAAAAAAAAGCACACAATAGTGATAACAATAATGGTGAAGATTATGGCATTAAGTTGGACACATCATTAGGCAAGTGATGAGAGGTGAGATACAAAACGTGTAAGATGACAACAAAGATAATTGCAATATATGTACATGTCATGAGATTGTAATCGATACAAATCATTGAAAGTGAAAACCAGCAACCATTGGATGGGATTAGTAATTGGATATAGAAGGGAAGCAGAGACAGGTGGTAAGATTAGTAAAAAAAAGTAAAAAAACAAAGTCAGTGTTGCATAACAAAGGTTGTCAAAAGAAGAAAGTTGAGATCAGCAGGTACGTCAATGATGGAGAAGGGGGGGAAAAAGGAAAAAGAAATTGGCATTTTGTCAACAGAACGTGCATAAAATGATTAGAAATCTCAAAATCATTATTTCAGACGGGGACTAATAAAGGACTGTTAAAATGTCTCACTATATAAAACCTTTTTTGAATGAAGGGGAAGTCTGAATGAATTGTTGAACCTTGGCACAAAAACATCACAAGGATGAAAATTAAGAATGGGTCAGTGGTATTTTGAAATAAGAATTAATCCCCTAACAAATTCTGTTAGTCCTGAAAGTGTACCAAGGTCACATTTGTACAATCTCCAGTTCAATTTCTAACAAGGGCATTTTGTTTGAGCCAGGCCCAACGAGGGAACCAATTCTTTATTTAGGCAAAACACGTCACATTCACTAAGAATACGGCCTTGGGCAAATTGTGGCTAAGTGTCACAAAGCGCTAGTCATCAATAACTAGCCAATCACAGAGGAGCACATCATCATTACACACAGTCCTGCAGAAGGTCAATGTTATGGATGACTGCATCTGAATAGCTGCAGTGTGCAACTTACACTGAGCTTCGCTGTGCAACCTGTTGAGGCCATGATCTGGCATCAACACATGAAAGGCAGTGTTTCTTTCTACATGAATGTGAATTGAATGTGTCTACAGTGTAGTAAATGAATCAGCAGATTTTGTTAAAAGTGTTTTCCCTCGTGAAACAGTTTATTTACAATTATCAAAATATCAAACTAACATCTACAATTTCATCTCCCTTAAAATATCCTCCTTGATTAATTGCAAGGCAAGTGTCTGTCAGCAATATAGTCTTCAGGTTGGTACATATTTTGATGTTTTTGTAATTATTTTTAGGCAGAGGTTCAGAGACATCATTGCCACAATTTTAAAATAAAATCTTAATTGTCAATTCTTAAACATGTGAAGTATCAGGTCCTAAAAGCTGCTTGTTTGCTAAAACTAAAACCCAATTACTCAAATTATTTGGTTTTTCACTGTCATGGTGACACAGCCAGAAGACACATAAAGAAATTGCATAATTTACTATTTCTACGTACCTCCTCTCTGGACAACTGATTGTTGTTATCCAAATCCATCTTGGTGAAAAGATTGACTGGTTCTTGATCCAGAATAGATCGTACCTTTACTTCATACACTGCTGGTCTATCCGTCTTGGGCTGTTCAAGTCCTGCTTTGTTGAAAAAAAGCATTCAAATACTTTGCTTTAAAATATTCATTAGCAGAAGTGATTGTTTTTGATAGAGATATCTGTAATTCCTTTTATCTTTACAATTTCGTTTTGGCTGAGGGATCCTGTCTCAAGAACTAAATTCTGTCTCAGTTAAAGGCTCTGTAATGCACTGACAGCAGTGACCCCATTGCAAGGCCAATGCAACAGGTCCCACCACTGTTTATCGATTGAGGAAAGACAAGGCATTAGCACTTCATGGGGCTTCAAAAGGAGCAGGGTTTCCAACATCTACTGGGGTCGTGGGATGGTGCTTTTTGAAACATGTTCAAAGGCACCTTGATCGAACTCACAATACAATGTCTTTAATGAGACTTTTCGATGGTCATTTAATGCATTTACACTTTTGTCATTACAACTGACATTGTGGCCACTAGAATCTAGATCTACATGTACATATGCATGTATTTAGCTCAAGCTGTCACAGATTTAACATATTTATGTGAAAGTCACAAAAATTCATGAAGAGATTGGTTCGTTTATATGTACCAGATTTGGGATCTACTTGCATCAGTGGTGACTCGGCCTGAATTATGATCTGTCGTTTCTCACCAACACAGACATTTCTCAAGCCCTCAGTTAGACCTGGGAGCTTCTCATTGTCGCTAACTGCCAAGAATAATGGTCTCTCTTTTGAATAGCTGAAAAGAAATGGATATTGAATGATGAAACAAATGTTAATCAAACAACACAAAGCAGCTGCTACAAATTGACTGAAAAATTGATGTTTTTACAGTAGGGAGAAAAAATGGGCTTTTTGGACTTTGCATATCATCCAGTCATTCATCTCCCAGTACTAGACATGACAGAACGTGGGTACAACAAGCATACGGCTTAGGTGACAACCAGAAATTTTAGTTTTACATATGAACACAAACTGACACATTATTTTCGGTAGCCCCTGCACAGCAATCTCTCTTTGATTAAAGGACTACCTACCTAGAATCAAATTCCTCGTAAGTTTCTCCATCATCACTCATCTGTTTGGCTACAAACTCCAGCTCTAACCAGTCACCTGGGAAAGCCATTCGGGGGCATTCACCCACCCGATCCAAGACAGTGACTGTAACACCCTCTTTAAACTCTGGCAAATCTGGAAATGAGTTTTTTGGAGGTACGGCATCGCCTCCTGCACCTTCTCCTTCATCCATCACATCCGCTGAGGATGTTAGGCCTATTAAAAGTATGATCGCAAAATCAAGCAGGAGTGAAACGCTCTTCTTCATCATTTTCAGATTTTGGCGATTGTTCTGCACTTCGACTGGAAACTTTTAAAGACAAATACCACAAAAATCTGTTTTACTTCAAGTTTTCAAGCACAAGCTACTTCAAGCTGATTCACGTCATGGGGCGTGAGAGGGACAGATCGTGCACTACGTGTCCTAACTCAAGTGCCTAAGTTTTGTTCATTGTGCATGTGCCTCAACAACGTGACAGCTGAATGAACAATAACAAAGATGTGAAATTTTTTTAAACGCGCAGTTGATATATATGATGATATGAGTAGTTTGGATTTTTTGGCTGCCAGTCTGTTGAATAAAAGTTTTCCCCAGCATATTTTGTAATTCAAGTCTATACATAATAAAATTAATGATATATCACGTGCTAGAATATACACAATTGATTTTGACCTAGCTATACGCACAAAAACAAAACTTACAGTAGACTGGTGGTTTGTGTTACGCATTGTGTGAAATACAAATGGTGAATATGAAGACTGGACTCCAATCAAAAGTGTCTGTTTCATTATAGAAGGGGAACATGTTAATCACCAAATTCGGTTTCAACGTAAGGAAAAATCAGCACAAGGAAATATAAGGCAAAATAAGAAAATAAAGAGTTTAAATATAGCTTATTTTTACTTAAGTAAAATTCAACAAATACTTCGGAATTGACGGATCAGTTATGTGTCACGCGGACCACGAGCAGAACGGGCTTCCCACCCCTCACATTTTTGGGACAGTCTAAGTCTGGAATAACATACGAACTACATGTTAGAAATCAATGAGCCTTTAACACCAAGTATATGTAAAATTTAAACTATTTGCTGACATGGCCGATCGCACTTTTGGTGGAAATAGATCATGGTCAAGCATCTGGATTGGGTGAATTTTGCATTCAAGCAAACAACGATTCTTGCAGTCCTCACGATATCCAGCAGATGAAGGACTTCGCTACTACTTGTACCATGGTTGAAATGCAAGGAGTGCTATTTAAGTGGACAAACTACCTGGCCGGTCAGTAACTACAGACTAGTCTAGTGCATGCAAACATGGCAATTGCAACATAGCATGTGGCGGTACCGCCGCACCGTTATCTTATGGATGGCATCATCACATCCGTGATGTCTGTGCATGCTGATTAGTGATTCTGTTGTCATGCTTGATGTGACCGAGTATGAGAATGATGAGCGTAGGGCAAGGGCGTAGGGCCATGCATACACTGATTTATTTTAACTAAATGTACAAGTCATGAAATGTTCTGAATTAAAACTTCACCAGTTCAGTGAAAAGCTGTTTCTGTCATGAACAGGTGTAAGTCTAGCCTCAGGCCCTAATGAAACATGAAAACATATCATGGGTTACTCTGTTATCATGGTAGTTATCAGTTTTCCCGATTGAAATAAAGATTGCTCTCTTACCTTCCTGAATTAGCCAGTTCTTTTTGTTGTTTAACTCTTACTTTTTAATTCGATTCATAAAAATTTGTTTGTAGGTCAATTTATTTTCCTCTACGATAGCTCAGAAAATCAGTGTGTGCACCGTATGCAAGCTGAGGTGGAGTCTGTATTATTGCGGTATTGAGAAATGGTTTCTACGATGGCCTTTAAAGCACTTTGTTTATAAATGAAGATAAACAGAATAATTTAGTTTTCAGAGGAAACAAAATAACCTCATTTTGTGATATCGTTCCATTTTACTTGTAATTGACTTCATTTTTCCAGTCTCCTCCATAAAGATGCCAAATGCCGAGAAAATGAGACGGGATTAATTGCATTGTGTCACCTTACACTTATTAATTGCACAAGGAATGACTTCATTTCACCAGAACTTGTTTACCCCAATCTTAAATGCAGCAACATCTTTGACTTTCATCTTATTACTTTTAAAAATTGGCGACTGCGGAAAGAATGATAAATATGTGGGTGTCACAAATTTCATATTCTTGGTGGACTCATTCTTGATAGATGTCTGAAACAGTTGTTAAAAATATCTGCTTTCTGAGTACTAATTCCCTGAAAGTTATAATCATCTCATTAGACCTGAACTATTTCATTCAAAATTGATATTAGAGTTAATATCAGATATCAGAGGTACAATGTAATATCTAAATTTTACATATGTGAGGGAAATTGCTGTGAGATTTCATTTTCCGAGGTTCATTTTTGCTTGTTTTCCCAGGTTGGCAGCTGAGATGGTTTGTCTTAGACAAGGGCATCCTGGCCTATTACAAATCCCAAGATGAGGTTCATCTGGGAAGTAAAGGCTCCATCAAAATTGCCTGCTGTGAAATATTAGGTAACTCTTCTTTCTGTTAGAAGTAAAGAAGTAAATGATGTACATGCATATGAATTTATAACCATGCATAACTTACATAACTCCGCTTTTTTGCCTATAGGATGATATGTTTTTCCCAACACACCTGCCAGATTCTGTTAGTGGCCTCCTATATTATGCAGCAAATGTCAGGCTGACTTGAAAACCTTTCTGCCTAGTTTCCCTCAAGATTTCATCACATGGTGATAGATATACCGTTCAAAAATGGACAGAATTTTTTATTACAGCCATCAAGTTATACATGTGTTAGCCATGTTCTGTAAGATTTTTGGAAGTTAGACTGCTTGTTGCGGTTAGTCAATCTCTTGGTTTTGCATATTCTGAGTTGAGCAGTAACTGTTGTTTTTTCAAACGTTGTAAATTTGTTTGTTTATTTCTTGGTTTCTTTTTCCTAGTCCATCCATCAGATATGTGCCGTCTGGATCTCATTATTCCCGGAGAGCAGCATTTATACATCCGAGGGACATCACCTGCAGAAAGGCAACAGTGGCTTGTGGCCTTGGGCTCTGCTAAAGCGTGTCTCACAGATGCCAAACAGCAACAGAAAGGTACGTAAACCCAGGATGTACATAGCCATATAGACTCATCTAGGCACAAGGACACCCTGCTTCCTTCTCCACTTCCTGTCCCCTCCCATCTCCCTTTCCCACTTCCACTTAGCTTCTCAGACTTTGACTGGACCGAAAACAATTAAATACTGTAAATGTTAACTCTGACACCGATGGGACAAATTGAAAACCTGTCCATGCCCAAAAACTGGGCAGGGCAACCCTGCAGTATTCTGATGCAGGAGGGGCCCCCATTGAGTCAACTGAACATACATTTAGATATATGTGTATACATGTGTGTGGGCACTGCTTGCCACATCTGTGTTTACAAACTGAGTTAATCAGAGTACCGAAAGGAAGCATCTCCAAATGACACAACGACTAACGACATCTCGCAAGCTAAGTTGTAAGCGCCTGTCATCATTCACTGATCATCAGTCTGTTGAATGACAAGCAATCTGACATTATGAGGGCATGCCTTGGTTAACATAGCTCCATACTGGTGGGTGATATGTGGTGGACATTTATAATGATTCCTTGAATGCAGATCGCAATGAGGAACTCTTGAAGGCCAAAATGTCTGAGCTGCGCCTGTACTGTGACACACTCATGCAGAGTGTTGCCAATGTGAAGTTGTCGGCCAGCGCCGAAGAAGCTCCAGACATTGAGGTATGTATGCCACTCTAAAAACACTGGCATAATCCTACTCCTTCCGAATTGTTCAGAATCCATCAGTGAGGCCATTTGGAATCCATCAGCAACTTTTACTTGACTTAGAGCTAAATTTCAGTGGAAGGTAGATGTTGAAGGACCCTGCCATGAGTGTAGGATGTTGGATGATTCAAGAAGGTTCCTAGCCAAATGCCTTGGCATTCAGGGTGAAGAGATTTTGAATTCACCTGATGTTGGGTTAAATAGATGCAACAAACTTTACTGAATTGCTAACTAGAATGTGGGTTTTTATTAATCTCTCTTTTTTATGCAGATTGCCAAATTATTTTTCTCATTTCGTTGAATGTCTCATCCCAAATAGAAGCTGAATACATCCACAACCCTTCTCTCAGAGACCTGTGACACCTTTATATCCACACTCCAAGACTGCATGAGTCTGGCCAAAAGTGCATACAGCATGTCCTACTCTAACAGCACATACAATGAAACGGTAGTTCCTCCTTCGCTGCAGCAGCAGGTGAGCAGTAGGCCTGGTCGGACTCATTTGTCTGTGGCTGACAGGAACACAACATGGCTTTGCGAAATAGCTGCAGCAGCCATAGGTGTACATGTTATTTTCAGCCATAGTCGTTCAATACAGACGATTCACAATAGTGCACCTCCCAGAGTTTGCAATGCGTTGTTCAATCACAATGCGTGAAATCTGTAAACCCAAAGGGCGTTTGGAAAGGGTCAATAGATTTCATGCATTGTGATTGGTCAATGTGTTGCAAATTCTTGGAGGCACTTTACTGTGAAACGCCCGTGTTCATGACATTAGTGTACTGTCAGAATACTTGCAGCTATTCCCGCGTCAGCTTATTTTTTCTTTCTAAAGTTTGTTTTAGTGCCGAAACCTAAAAACACAGGACAGCTTCTAGTTTAGCTTGAAATTTCCCATTTTTGTTCTCATTATTCAAATGAACGTCTGCAGGTTGCATTTACCATATCAAGCGTGAAGGATGAGTCTTCTTGATTTATTAAATTTTATTTGAGTTTTTAGATTTATTTGATGATTTTAACCATGAAAAAGTAGAAGGAAATATGGCAAAAGATATTACATTCTCATAACTAATCATCATGAACCCTAACCTTCCCTAACCACACAGAATTGAACACCAGTAAAGTGTGTGAATTTGTGGCATTGGGTACTGTACCCCTAAACTGCTTGTGCTTTAACATGGGTTTAGGCATACCCAAAATAAACAGAGTCCAACAGTTTTTGTACACAGGTTACCATATGGAGTTGGAATTTGTGTGAATGTTTGTGGTTCCTAATAAATCACTCTGGGGAGTTAGGGTTAACATTGAAAATACCTGTGACCGACTTGCAACTTTGTCCATTCACTGAAGACAGATTTTTTTCTGATTCAGTCACACTTATAGTTTGGAATGTTCATACATGGCATGCAAAAGTAGTATATTTTGTCAAGCAGGTATTTGCAGACGACCAAGGCATTTTACCAAATAGCCTGTTTCGCTAAGAAGGCAATTTGTTTGCTTATCCAGTCTCTAGTTACTGCATAAAATTGGCCCTTGTCATAGCACGGAACATGCTTGTTCCCACAGGGTGTACTTCATTTCAAACTGAGCATTTGCAAAAGGTTTCCTTTTTTTATCAACACATCAAACTAAAGCTCCTGAAATCTTGAATCACTGTTGTGGCTAAGTGTAACGATTGTAAACAATTTTCAGTTGTTTAAAGCACCTTTAAAAACTAAGCTGTGTTATATTTTATATATTTCTCGACAGACAAAGAAATCAGCATCAAGATCACATTCTATTGAAGACAGGTAGGAATGTTAAACTCAATGGATGGACAAGCATGTTGTCTTTGGGCATACGACAGTGGTAGTGTGTTTAATTGGCCTTTATTTAAGGAAACTTCCGGAATTCCCTCAAAACCCTCCAGGGAGCAGGAACTCAGTAACACCTTCATTGTTCAGTATGTAATCAGGCCATTCTTTTGTCTGATCTGAAGAATCTAATCTCATCAATGTGATCAATCTTTTGCAATGCTTCATGTTCCGTACAAAGGAATATTAATTGGATGGTACTTTTCGCAGGCCTTCAAAACCTCCTTGAATCTCCTAGTGAATTTAAAATGATTTGGGAGTGTTCAGGTAATAATATGAATAAGTACTTGAAAGCCCTGCTCCAAACCTTCAATCTTGTTGTTACCCAGGTGCAAGGAAAGTCAGTGAAAGATGTAATTTTGATAATGGACCCAGTGGACTTGACCAGAGCATTTTTGGTTTGCATTCAATTATCATTGCAGAATATTGTTTTGGGAGGCATTTTTTTCCTCTGAAAAAGAACTGCAGGATTTTGCCTCTTCCCCACCTAGAAACAATTTTTTTGAGAAATGTACTTCACCAGAAACTTCTTAAACAATTCAATGACTGGATACTGTGTTTTGAACTGTTAAATTCCACTCTGCTTTTTTGGTTGCGGGCTGCATTTATTTTTCGTGGACAAGTTTTATGAAACACTTTCACCATCTTGTTCCCACCCTCCTTTGCCCATCCCAGGTACCACCCGCCTCAGAGCAGATCGGGAATCACAACCAAGTATAAAAACTTGGAGGATATCGCTGCCCGTCCCAAGCCTCACAGGACGCGCACCCCACAGAACCAATCCCTGTCAGCCCCAACGACGCCAACAGCCAGCACTACGCCGACAACACTGAGCGAGTCCGAGGACACCCAAGTGACTGACTCAGGGGATGGCGTCCAGTCACAGATGGACGCGATCAGAAAGACGGATAAGAAGGAGACCCTATATAACGTGGCCATGCAGCACCCCTCCATGCAGGAGAAACCCAGGATGTCGACCTTCTTCTCCAAAATGAAACCCAAGTAAGTGTCCATGCTCCAAATTTCCCGAGAGGTTCTGAGAATAATTTGTAGTAGTTCTCTAACTTATATTTCAGTCACACTTAATCCATTTTCCACCTTTGGGCATACACAGAATGTTTGTTCTATAGACCAAAACACAGACATTGACATGACTATTTACAAGACTGTTCTGTAACTTGGGGAGAAGCAGCTCTTTTTGTGAAAAAAATAGGCCAGATTTGTCTTATTAGTCCTATATTCGCATGCCCAGTTTCGTTTAAAATGAAACCATTTTTCTGTCTCAGTGCATGAAAAGCACAAAGAGCGAGTGTTTTACCGTGTCTCAGGTGTTGGAACTGACACCAAGCTGATTGAAGTACAGATTTCTTGCATTGTATTATGTGGGAGGTTGTGGCCTAGTGGTTAGGGTTTGTGGCTTCTGATCATAGGGTCAGGGGTTCGAATCCAGCTGGTGGTAGCAAGTCACAAGGGCAAGTCACTTCACTAATGTGCCTCTCTCCACCCGGGAGTAAATGGGTACCTGTGAGGGCAGACACGGTTATGTTTAGCAGTTTGTGCTGAAATGGCAGCACTGGGCTAGTATATTCCCCAGGGAGCTGAGATGGTTTCAGGAATGTTCAGATGATGTGTGAGCCCAATGTGCAGGGATAATGATAATATAAGCGCCATAAGCGCCTTTGTGTCGGATACTGGAGCTTTACAAATGCTTTTATTATTATTTACTTTTGGTGGAGTTCAGAATTCATCTATGCACTGAAATCTAGCTTCGTGCATAGCTCAAATCCAAGACATTTTATGTCTTCTCTAAAGCTTTTTTTGAATGTTCCTTTCCCCCTCGTCAGCTTTGAAGATGTTCAAAAAGCATCAGAAGATGGCATCAACACAGGGTTATTCCTAGACGCCTGCTCCCAAATTGTGGAAATACTTGGTGAGCTCCTTAGATTGCACTTTTGTCTGTGGCTTGTTGTCTTTGTTCCCATTGCCATTTTTAACCCCTTCGCGACGGGAGATGGCAAGAGCCGCGGCTCTTGGATGAGGATTAGTGCATACCACACATACAGACTATTCACCATGCAGCTGCTGGTTCAATGGGACCTGCTGATGGACAAAGCCCTCCATTCAGGGCAGACCACAGCCCAGCAGATATGGTCAAAAGAATTACCGGCGCAAAGGGGTTAAAAATAATTTGGACACATTTGGCCACAGTCTTAAATGTTTTACCGTGCAGATTCATGCAACAGGACAACTGCTACAAGAAGCAAAATTGCTTGATATTTTCATTTGTATGTTGAATAGGCCTATGCACTGATGACTTCAGCGCTTTGTTTGCACATATGCTTTTTCCTATGGAGTGAGTGGGATCTCGTGGTCCACTGACCACCATAGAAAAGCACACACGTAAAGAAAGTGTGGTGTCATCAGTACAGAGGTCTGCTATATTCACATGAAGTTTAACGTGAACTCCTTTTTTTTTAGACGCAATGGGCTCATCAGCATTTACGCCAGTCAAGATGGACATGAATGGTAATATTAAGGTAAATAGTAACATGACTTCACTATCCCTCAATATTGTTTTAGTAATCTGTGACATTTTACGTGAGGGAAAATCTGTCTCCCAGAAGGGTAATTTTTTAAAGTTGCTTTTCTCATACACCCCTCTCAGAAATTACGACAGAAGTATTCGACTGATCCGTCGGCTTTCAACACTCTCCAGGCCATCGTCCAGCAGGAAACAAGAAGCAGCACTTACCAACTCAAAAACTCAGCAACAGAGGCACTCATGTGGCTCAGGAGGTGCAGAACTCAATACTCATAGGCTTCTGTTCAGTGTTGTAGTCAAGACCATCACAAGACAAGACACAAGACCACGTACAAGACCAGACACAAGCAATAGTGTGAACAATGACAAAGGAATGCTTTTGTTGTGGTTCATTTGAATAGCTTGTGGCTTGAATTCATACTGAAGGTCTTATGTGGTCTCCATTACAACGCTGCTTCTGTTATAACACCACCATTGTAAAGACCCTGATTCGTTGGCGCACGATCTCCCCTCACAATGCAGTATGAGCACCAAGCACAGCTACTGTTTTGCCTTTGATTTTTTTATGCACAGATTTTGCAGAATTATTACCACAGGGCGTAGGAGATCTAAACATTTTGTGGAAATTTGCATTTTGCACTGCGATGTGTTGTTGACATATTGCATGTCTCAAAGCCATCCTTACAGAATGTCGATCATTAATCTTTATTCTATTCCATTTGCCAAGAGTTGATGTTGTCCTCCCCCGTTCATTTCTCGTAGAGCTCTTGAGTTTGTCTGTGCATTCCTGGAGGAGATCATCAAAGGAGAGAAGGACCTCCCCTCAGCCGCAACGGCAGCTTACAAAAGGTCACTACAGAAATTCCACGGATGGGTCATTCAAGGAGTTTTCTCAGTAAGGAGCATCATTCTAAACTTTATTTCTTTATTAAACGAGGGTGAAAAAGCCCTACGAAGTATAAACTGATCTCACTAGGGGCCCAGGGGAAGGAGATAATGAAGAAATGTTCAGTTTTAGAGGTGAAAGGAAATTGGAGACTCCCAGAAAACCCAAGGAATCAGGTAGGGACTATAAGAACTCAGTTCACGTCAGCCTGGGTTGGATTTGAACCTGGGGCTGCTGAAGTGGTAGACGTGGAAAGTACCACTGCACCAACCTGACGTTCCTTGTGGAAAAAAATCACTGAGGAAGCAACCAGCTCCACACATCGAAAGTTCAGGGTTGGATAAGAGACCCTTGAGAACAGTGCTTTATCAACAGTGGCTGGGAATGGAAGAAAGGTCAGACCGAATCTATGAGATGCAGCTCTCATTGGCTGAGGTCATTCAAATCTTCACTTTCTACAACTACAAAGTCACAATTCTAATGTACTTTGATGTGCAAATGCCCTATTAGACTATCACATTCTCTAGCAGTGTCATTTACCACCTTGCTGTCACATTACCTGGCCTGACCAGCGCCCTGTGTGAACAATAATGGGAGCTTTTCTTGTGTGTTTTTTAACGAAGCGGGTTGTGTGTCGTCTCTCGTGCATTTTGTTTGCATGCATTCAGATTAGACCCTTCGCTAAATGCACACTGGGTCCACAACACAAGTGGCATTGATGTGTCAGTTACCCTAGCCTCTTTATTGTTTACTACCAAGGTCCTTGTCATGCTGCTGACTTCTGTGATGTAGGATATGATGTTGTGCCTTTGGGCTGAAGATTGCTTTGTCTCCCAAGGGGTTTTACAACATCTTGTAGTATTAAAGATATCAATATTTTCACTGCAGGGCACGAGAATTCATTCACTAAACATGTTACACGTATCTACCAAGTGAGATAAAAGTCACCAGGGCCACCGGATTCAAAAATAAATCGTACAAAATTAAAATTATGCAAAAGGAAGCTACCAACTTTTTCAACCTTGTTATGTCAGTATGTATTATGGATTTCAAACAGAGTGATGTATCGACTTAAAAGAGCTCTGTGCCCTCTATTTTAAGTAACACAGTCCTGGAGACACATTTTGTTGTATCCAGTCACAAGTGTCACTCTGCCAAAGTGTCAGCAGGCCTGTAGAGTCATAAGTCATAATCTCCAGTATCCATGTGTTCTTCAGCTTGCGGTCCGGGCTGCCCCCTACTATGAAGACTTCATGAAATGCCTGCTGCAGAATCCCGAGGACATGGAACGAGGCGGGGAGGTTATTGTCCTGGAAGACATGGCCATAGGCATCCGACCCTTGGGTGCCCTGGTGAAGGAACTTCAGGACTACTACCACTCAGAGAATCTTGAAAGCCATGTGCAGATATAAGATCGGACAAGAAACGGTGTCGCATAACTCTACAAAAAAAGGTCAGTTGCCTTCAGTTCTGACAGTGATTATGCCACATCAACTATCATAAGGTCATTTTTACTTTTGTTGTTGCAATTTTGATGATACTCAGCTGGTTTGCTTCCCTTCATAGGATCCTCCCCACCTCAGGAAGGATCGATTTCCGTCGTCAACAGGTCACATGCCTTATGTATGGGACATAATTTGGGTATTAAACTTGACCAAAAGGGATGAGAAAAAGTGTTGACAGTTCTCTGGGTTGGTCACATTTGTGTTATGTCCACACTCTTCTGTATGTGAATTGACATCCCAGGCTAAGGGTCACGTCAAGGTCATCGCAAAGTCACTTTTTAATCCAGTACTTGTACTTGGTGATTTGATGTATGTGAATTATATTTTGTCATGCAGAAGTCTGAGAATAGTGACAAAACTTGAACATATTTTCTTTGCTCTTGTACAGAGGTGATTCGACGGTATACGGTTAAACAGCTATTAGGTGATTTTAAAAATGGAAGAAAACAAAACTGGAGAAAAATGTCTACCTTATAATTCAGTGAGGCAACACCATTTCTAGAAACCAGTTAATGATGCAGAATAACTGACATTACTCACATACCCCTGTATGGATACTTTGTTGTTTGCACAAAAAGGTCACAAATCCTCATGAAAGTAGACTATTGTTCCACATGCATTTGAAAATCCAACATAAATTGTGTCGAACATTTTAAATGATTTTATTTTTGCTTAAATGTTGGATGACAGGTTTTTTGCTATTGAATAAAAAATGAGATACAATTGGCAATTTAAATGTAGCTCATCGTCAGATTTCCTGATTAAATTATTTAGATTAATACTGATCTATCTGTGTAATTTCATCAAAACATTGTTTACAAAGTCAGGAGTCAATTTTCGAGTTTTCCGGGGTTGGGGGAGATGGCCCATAGATCTATTTTTTAAAAGGAATATTCAATGTTCAGGGAATGAAGAAGGAATCAAGCTGTTAAAGGAACAAAGTAACATTGGCTGGGATTTGTACCAACTTCAATCCTGCCTTCAATCAATTCTGCTAAAACAAAATCACTAAAATGTCAAAGAGGGATCTTGGGCATGAAGGGGATAGACATTGAGATCATTTATTCATTCTCAAAACAAAAGCTGTTTGTTGGGGTGTTTGTTTGTTGGCGTTTGTTTGTTTGTTTGTTTGTTTGTTTGTTTAAAAGCTGCACTAACCTGGCCACAATTTGTTATTGCTCTGAGTGCAAATTGTAAAATGAAAAGCATTTTAATCTTAGTTTGCCTTTACAGATTTGATTATTGGCATGCTATCACGCTGCATGTACATGTACAGTGTAGTTGTACATTTTAACCACTTGCTGCCGGGTGCTTTTAAAAATGCAGTGCACACATACATGTAAGGGCGATTTTCAAGATTTTCAGTTTTCAAAATTCTTCAAAGATTCATCATTTCATTTAATGGACGTTTACTTGCACATGAGTGACTGTTCGGTGGCTACTCTAAGCTGACAGGTAACCTTCATTGATTCCTGAATATATCAGCCAGGCCTGCCGCCCTGTAAATAGAGCCCAGAATTGTGAGGTGTTGCGTAATTTCCTTTGTCCCCAGTGAATGCGAGTGGCGTCTTTTGAAACGTTGCTGGCTTAGCATGCAGCGGTGCTTTGTCACTCATCAATTGGGCCCTAGAGCACTTTTGTCAGTGGTGCTAATCCGCAGGTGCGCTATGCCAAAAACAGTGGTATAAACAGTGACGGATTACCTTTGAAAAATGCAAGGAAAAACAATGATGGCAATTCCTAGCAGCAGGTCTTTTGTTCCGAGTACAGTCTTTTGTTACACAGACCAGCTCTTTTGTCCCATTTCGGGCACCCTGGCTATGCGTTTAAATCCATGGTGCTCGAAACGGGGTTCCCCAGCAGCAGGTGGTTAAAGGTACAGTGAAATTGGTCCAGGCAAAGGCGTTGGAGGTTTCTTTATTTTCCCTAATTCTGCTGATCTACAGCTAAAATATCAGGGATTTTTTTTTTTATTTTCTTGCGTCAAATGAAATTTAGAAATGTCACAAATAGACATTTCACAATGTGCAGTATCATAATTACAGTGCTGGAGTCTTAAATGGTTTGTCACACACAGGGCAAAATGAATTTCAATTGAATTTATGACTTGTATAAAATTTATACATGCATTCCAGTTCCTTGGAAAGTACTTGCTAAAGTCGTATACTATACATAGACAAAACCTTTTATATCAAAGTCGATGACTCTTGCATTTAATTATTTCAGTTATTGTGACTTTGTTTGCAAGAGGCAGGCATTTTGTGTAATATAGTGTCACAACAGTAAGGAACTCATGTTTTCTTATTGATGCATACTTACCATTTCTGTATTATTGGAGGAACAGCCCATTGTGCTCTAAAATTGCAAAAGGATTTGCCATTTGCCTACTGACTGGCATTTGCTTAACAAGGACAGATCCTTCTCATGCTTTGTCCCGTGTGCACTAGTACCTGTGCATTATTTGACTGGTCAAACATGACAATGTTTGAGAGCGAGCATAACAGGTTATTATCGGCTTTGTCTCTTCATTTTGAGCTCCTTTTGGGAATTAAGATCACGGAGTTGAAATCCTCTGGTTTATTCCATCAGCTGCTGTAGTACATTGAGTTGCATTGTACATGTATTTATTTTTGTGGTGAATCCATAAAACTCCAAAGTGTTTAAGCAACAGTGTTGTAGTTGAGTCCATAGTAAGACCTCTCACAAGGTCCTTCACAAGTCCAGTCACAAGATCAGTGTGAAGTGAAAGGGTCAACATTGACAGAGGAATGCTTTTGCCACAGTTCATTTGAAAAGCTTGTGGCTTGGCTTAAAACCGAGTGACAAGTCCCACCAAATTACTCCATTTAAGAAGAACAATTCTGTATTTATAGAATTGATCTAAACCATCAACCAATTGCTTGAAAGGTATGACTGTTTGAGGGGTTGTATTTCATAATGAACTTCCTGCCATCGGTGTAAATGATGCTCCATCTGTTTAGTGTAGAATGTGGAGTTACACATGTAAAGGGTCCTTGAGCCAAGTCAAGTGAAAGTTTTGAATGGCAAGAAATCATTAAGTCATTGTGTTTGTTTCACAGTGGGTGGAATACTTAACTTTCAAAAAGGAGACATTGGGAGAGGCTTGTTATGGTATATAAACTTGGTATCAAGGATTTTGTAGGTATTTGATAGTACCTGATCAGTTTTGATCTGAGCATGATTCTATTCATCTACAACCTCAGCTATGGGTGCCTTTTGTTGGAGTTCAATTTGAAGATTAATAACAGTTGTAACTTGTGACGGGGGTTGCATCGATAGATGAACGTGAGGAGACATTATTCTTAAGCTTATTCATACCCAGTGAAATTCCATCATCTGGTCAAGGCAAATATGTGCACATTTCAACTGACGAACTTAGTCCTGAATGGATATGGACATTACGGTTCACACTTGTGCCATTTATGTGTTGGGTTTTACACACGACATGTCCAAATTCCTTTTGCCAGTCATGTTGTCAAAAGCTGTGCTCCAAAGACTGGTTGGCGAGTGGCGACAGGCAAGAGAGCAGTGGGATATCCAGGTCTTGGGTCCAGGGGGACAGAAAAATTGGAATTTTTGTCCAAAAAGAACTGTTCAAATTTTTTGCCAGTTGAAGATCAATCACCACCCACCCCCCAAAAAAAGTGGTTGTGCCATTTCAAAAGTGCCAAAAAATCGTAAGATGTCTTGAGAAGAGGCTACTGTCCTCCCTGCCCCCCCCGTATGCCACTTTAGGAGGGCCCTTTAGTCAACCTAAGCTTGAAATGTACAGTACTAAGGAATCTATAGAAATCAGCAGCCAGTGGCTTCATGCATTTTCCATAAGCATATGCTGTTTTCAGTCATAATCAATTATTTATGAACTGGCCTATTGCTGCCTGCTCCCAGCTAATGGAGAAAAAAGAGTACTATATCCAAATTGGTTTGTCAATGCGGATTGCTTGCCTGATAACCAGGATTTCAGCCAGCCTTTAAAAATGGGACATCCATGTTTGCCTGGAAGTGAAATACATGGCGTCCAAGTTGCTATCAAAGGTCTTATGCTTGTACATGAATTTCCATAGCAAAACAAGGTAGCCAGAATGGCCTACAGGCTGTCCAAAACATGCCCAGACACCTGTCGGGCTAAAACATAGCTAATGGTGATAACTACCCAAATTGTAGAAAGAAAATTATCCCGCAAGGAGAGTAACTCAGTGCAGTGGCATTTGTTAATTCTTACAGTAATAACTTCAATACAGATAGTATACCTACCTAAACAGAGATCACTGCTTGCCAGCAGCAATAGGCATTGCACTTAAAAAATTGCATGCCGCTCCAATATGGCAAGAAAAAAACAACAGTGACAGCTTTGGACAAGTTTGTCAGTATCTACTAGTAGTAGCACTGATTCTTACTTTGATAAACTGCTTTCTGACATGATCCATCAGCAGCTGTGCAACAACTCACACAATGTATCAGCAGTAATGTAAGGCCGTGTCCGAAACGGGCTTCTAGAGCTACGGCTAGGTCTATTGTCTATGCAGGGTCTATTGTCTATTTTTTCAAGCACCCCTCTAGCCATGCTATGGTATGTTCCTCTCGCAAGTAGTCATACACAGTCTCCTTACATGTAGATAGGCATACGTATGGCATGCACCAAGCTAGATGTGGCACCTCCAGCTGGTGCTTTATCAGCTATTAAAGACCGGCTACGTGACGGCTCTTGACCAGAAGGTAGAGGTGGCTGAACTGTTTTAGGTATTTATGGATATTGTTTAAGGTGTGAGGTGGTAGTGGAGCAAATTCATAGAAAAAAAGAAATTAAAAAAAACAATGGTGAAATGCAAAAGGTTTTTCCTATGGCCAAAGTACAGGTAATTCTTGGGATTTTGTCTGCCACTCGACTGTTGCAGAATTGGTTACACACAGGTTGTATTGCACATGGTCATTGGAAAGAATTGGAATAAAGAGCAGTCACTTTTGAAGGCTTAAAAAGAGAGAGCAAAGTCACTAGAAGAGACCAAAGTCTCAAAACTAAGACAATATTTTCAACCAGCTGTAGGCATCATTATTGCAAACAGCAGATCAGATTACATTTACCAGCAGGCTGGTAAACAACAGAATTACATATCACTGAGGGGTACAGTCAATTTAGTAGAGATATGCTTGCTGTAGGGAAATTGTTATGGTCAACTTCCGTTACTTTAGGGATTTATCTTTGCAGAGAAATTTTCTACCTGGCCAAAATCAATTAATTTATATTGTGTTTATTTTGTATTTTGACGTTAAGAAGTTGCTTTTGTTTTGTCTTGCTTTGTTTTCAGATGCAGATGTGGCATACATTGATAAATAAGTGAACATGATACTTTATCTGTGAGCTAAATACATTTTCTTTGTCTGATGAAACCCCAACTTTGTGGCCATTTTTCTGGATTGAATTTTACTAAATTGTTGATCAAGTCAGTTTTCAAACTAATGCATATTTTTCACAGTTTCTGTCTTTCTGTCCATCCCTGTGGACGGAGACAGTCAGTAAACCATTAAAAGCTATCAGGGAGTATCATTAACTCGGTTGATCAGATATAGGGTCACCAGTATTTGGTGCTACCATGTCAGTTATGGGCCAAATGCTCCGTTTGTAGCACAGTTTACCAGTGGCAATGTAAATAATTTGATCACCATTGTGTGCTGAAAAAAAAACAAACGACATGTATGCCCTTTACCAGTTACCTTTGCATAGGAAATACAGGAGACAAATTTCCCTTGATGTACCCCCAATACATTACTCGGCTGCTGTCCAAAGATTGTCTTTCTTACATCCATCTAAATGACCACTGCAGCTAAGATGGAGCCGCTTGGCGGAAACCTTGTAATCAGTAGCACCACCACCAAAACTCGACACACCAAGCCTAAAACCCAAAACCTGATATATCCCAAACTCAAACCCTAACCCTAGGCCCAAAACAGAAACTATAATACTCAAAACCCCAAACGAGTAATTTAATGCAGGACGTGTTGCATGGGGTTAGTTTTTTTTTAGCCGTAACAGTCCCAAATCCTCCAATTTCAATACAATTTTACATACACTCTTTGGGGGTTAGGGTTAATTGAACACGAAATTGGAAAGTGTGGATGGTGAAAGATGTGAAAGTTAAAATGAGAAAGATGGATGTAAACAAGACAGTTGTGAACAATTTTGATTTTTATTAACATCACTACTTGGAAGAAAACATAGTTTTGGGGGATTACAAGTACTAAAAAAAATTTACTGCATGATTACACTTTCAACAGAATATGTACAAAGCAAAGTTGTGTGTACACATTTAGAGAAACGTTTTGACAGCACTGATGGATACTTACTGCATGTATTTACCCCATAAACAAAGGTAGTTTTTATGACAATAGTATGGCAGTTGGGTTTACAGATCTCTTTTGTTGATGCCTTTGTTTATAAAACTGAAGGTGCTTATGCATTTTCTTACAGGTTAATTTTTTTTCTGTGCATGTGTTGTTAGGAATCAAAAGTCAAAATATATTGAAATCCCTCCCCCCAAAAAAGAAAGAGAAATGATACAACCAAAAACAAAACAAAATGGGGGAGGTAGCGAGAAAAAGAAGTGGCTGGAATGAGAAAATACTTTTTTTTCTTACCTTGTCCAATCATATTTTGGGGCATCTTTTATCCAGCACAACTAAATTAGGGTCTATAGGACGATCTCGAGACATTGCTTTGTTAGTGAGGATTTTCACATTCCTTATGCCCCACTTTACAGATGGAGGATAAGAAAAAAAGTTTGTATTCGTGTCATTAGGCCTCTTTCACGAAATGTATTTTGCAAGTTTACATCAAAGAAATCTTTCTCAGGCAGACATGAATGGAACTAATGGTTGATAAAATTGAATGCAATCTAGGAACAAGGAAAGCGATTGACCCCAAAAAAGGACTTATTGGATTTAGAATTGCAGTAATGTTCAAGAAAATTCAATGAGTTATCCTTTTTTAAAAGTGATTTTTCAGATAGCTTTGTCAACGACTGTTATCTTTTTTTGCATGTTATAATTGTTGCAGGTATAAAATTACTTGGTAATTGGCAGTGCTGTGACAAAGTTATTTTTTTCCACAAGTCAAGTCCCAAGTCTTTTTTTCCCCCGGGTCTGTGTAATGTCCTAACTCACATTGTACTTGAACACTTGTTCTTATATCCTTCATTAAGAAAGTTACCTATGTCATTCTTCAAAACAGGCCTAACCCACCCGCCACAGTTTTTCCCCCATCATAATGTTGATTTTTTTTAGTGATCAACAGCAATGTTATGAAAACAGACAGGTTTGCTAGTGAAAGTCGCAGATACATTTTTTCCTTGTATTTATATCGGACAAAGGTGGGTGCCAACGAGTCAAATTTGTTCAAGCCATTTTTTTCCAGCTTTTCCGGGTCAAGTCACATGTCATTTTCTTTTTCTCCAGGTCAAGTCTCAATTAAAAAAACTTCTAACTCAATTCTGACTTGTCTGAGCCAGCAATTCATGTTAACAACAATGCTAGTAATTGGACTTTAAAAGACCTACATTTACACAGATGGATAGCTTTATACTCTGTGTTAATATACATTGTTGCCAGTCAGGAAAAACATGAAAAGTACACATCACTCACTGCAAGGCTCTATTCTTGATAATGCGCTATTGTCATGCAAAAACAACTTTAAAATGTACGAGATCTAAATACTGTCAAAATACGTCCTTAATTTTTCAAAATGTATTTTTATTTCCAGGTCAGATTAATATTTACGTAATAGTCAAGGAAAGGATCCTTTAATTTTGTCCCAAAATATTTTGTGTCATTTTTTGTGTGGTGTATTTGATGATTACAACCTCGTCATTCATTTGTTTTTGTCATATAGCCAGTCAAATGAGAGTGCTTCCAAAAAGTCTGTGGCATGGATCCAATGAAGCAGTAAAACCGTACCACTGAGATGGCAGCTTCAACACCCCAAATCATTCCAAAATGTGACCTGTTTGCAATCACAGACATGTACTCTGACAAGAGTATGTAATTGAAGAGGACTTTACATGTACCGTGCGTGTCTTCGATTCTGTTCTCATGATGTGTTAGCAAAACCATGATAGCATCCGATCAAGAAGATACAGGTCATTGACAATAAATAATATATACCGTATTTAAATTTATTAAAATGTTTTTAATTGAAATTGAATTAGCGAGGTGTAGCACATATTTTGAAGTCACATGGTGAATAGTTGATTCCAGGCTGCCCCATCGGGTCTGGAAGTTCTTCATTGTCCGGAAATGTCAAGGTAAAACTCTTCAAGATTGTCGTGGTGAACAGGAACATTAAGGAGCGAGTCCAATTCTCACCAGGGCATGACCTTTGACCTGTATGACAGGATAAAAAAAGTTATGTATTTATTCTCCCTGTGCAAATCACCCAAGTCAAATGCTAGTTCGGAGTGGGAGAGGTGGAATATGCACAACTAAGGTGTTGGAATTGTCCACCGGAAGGTTTCATCTCACAAGGTGCAAACTTGACACTTAAACCATGAATTTGAGAGATCTTCATTTCTAGACATGCCAAAATAACTATGTAGAGACATTTGTGTTTGTAATTAAGATGTCTCCATCTTGGCACCTCTGTTTCTAAACCTCTAGAGAGATCCTTATTTCTAGCATAAATATTAAACTCAAACGTCATAATCTCCCAATGTTTGTGTTTAAGATGTGGTGAAAACGGCACATAGTTTTGGGAAATTTAATACAAAGGCAACCTTTGTTTTGCGTATGGATGTGGCAAGGATTTTTTAAGGGGGTGGGGGTATAAGCCACTTTATTTAGGGGGAATTATCTAGGGAGGGGCAAAGCTTTCAGTAATAAACTGATCAACTATTATCCCTTGCCCCCCCCTCGTGATGCTCATGGTGTTGCAGTTTTATTTGTACGAGACAATTTTTTTTTTAATCTAAAAATGAATAAAGATTTTGTCAAAGGTATGATTTTCCTTTTCATGCATACATTTTGTTAATGCGTCATCAGGCAAATTTATAGGACTGATTGAACAAATTTAAAACTGGTACTGCAAGGGGATGCCTGACCTGAGGAAAAGGTGACCAGCCGATTTGATAACTTAAATTTCCCGTCTGCATCTAAAAAGCGACCCGGGTCGAACCGATCTGGCTCTGTCCACAGCTTACTGTCATGGTGAGCTGCATAGATGTTTGTCAAGACATAGCTGCCCTCAGGGATGAGATGGCCCTTGAGAATTGTGTCTTGCATCACACGATGGGGTGCTCCCAGAGCAGAGACAGGGCGATACCGATACGTCTCTGTGATTGTCGCCATGGTAACATGAAGTCTGCTCTTATGTGACAGAGAGGGGATGTTTTCTGTGTGGAATTGAACAATTTGCATAAAAGCTAATCGGAAAGTATCCACTCTGCTTTGACATGGGAGATTATATTTGAATTAAGGCGTCTGTATATAGAATTAATTCTGTGGTTCTCCCTTTTTTACCTCAGGAAGGGTCGTTTGGTTGGGAGAAAAGGGCTAATAAAATTACTTGTTTGCCCCCAGAAATTCGTAAGATTTTTTTCTTGGTAGAAATTCTAGACAGGGTCAGCAGCATAGACAGTTCTTTCTTCCTTGGTCAAAGCCAAAAATAAGGGTCAATTAGACAAGTACAGAATGAGTATGGACAACCTAATCTTGGGTGCAGGGCCTCAAAGAGATGGTTTCGACGCAATACAGTGCTTGCAGTGCAGGGCACCCATAATTTGGTATCGGAGGCTAAATTTACGTCTCTCCACAAGAAAGGAGGGGAATAAATTGAATTTTGCAACAGGACACTTAATACAATAATTCAGATGTGTATGCTCCCAGATTGCGATGTATGCTGTTGGTGCAAGACAGGAATACTAACTATAAACCACTTGCAGCCTGTTTTGGACGATATATTTCAGGTGGTTTGTCAAATACCAGCACAAGTGAGAGGAATACAATGCACATGTAGTTTCATTTCGCTTGACCTCACAAAATACTAATTTACCTGACATTTGAGGTTTAATTTGCATGTACACAGTGCCCGAACACTTTGGATCAACGTACATGTTACTCTGCTATAAGAACTCGACTTTAATCCACTCCAGTAGCTTTAGTACCAGAAGCCTTTGTTTCAAACCAGCCGTGGACAGGGCTCATTCGTTCCTCTGGCAGTGCAGAGCAGCGTGATGTTTTTCTTATCTTACCTGCCCCGACAACTTGGTCTAGTTCGTCTTGGATTCTCCTTTGCCACTGTGGATGGAGCATCACCATTTGTAATGCCCAAAGAAGGCCAAGTAGCGCTGTCTCGCTCCCCACTACAAAGAAGTCAAAGAGCACGTTGATGAAGTGCTCATCGGGAGCTAAGGCGGCAGCAGCTTTTTCTCCTGAACTGCTGTGCTTCCGGTTGTCATGGTTTCCGTCGTCACTGCTGGAGGTGTTGACGGGCTTTGTGAACCGCTGCTGAATGCCCACAATACCATCCAGGTAAGACTCCCAGACGGTGTCGGCCTGGGTTGGCCAGGCCTGGTCTTGGTATCGTTGGCGACGTTTCTGGAGAAGCTCCAAGAAACAATCTGTAAGTTTCTTCTTGCCAGTCATGAACTTTTGGACAAGGAACTTTGGAAGAACCGTTGAGGCCAGGATAAGGACCGGGTTCAGGTGGAGAAACTCGGCTAGAGAATCCCGGAGTTCAATCAGGGACTCATTGTCAACGCAGCTGAAGCCGAACAAGAAGCTGTAAAGGACAGTGACACTGGATGTCATGCCGAGTGTAAATATATGTTAGTTCCCACCTTCGACCCTTCATTTGTACCTAATCGCGTTTTTGAAATTAGGTTTCTCATTTTCTTTGTAATATTCCAATATGTTTTAAACTTTTTATTTGTGTAACAATATATGTAGCTTTTTGGTAAGTTTTGTATCTGTTTCAATGAGTGAAAGCAGCTTTAACTTGTACACAGTATTATCAGCCGTACGATCTAGAAAATCCAGCCATTATCTTGGAAGAGAGTATGCCATGGTATAAAATGAATGCGTACCGGTAAATAAATAAAATAAAATAAACAAGCTATCTCCATTTGTACATTAAAAAGACGACTAACGTTTACCCTCTCAATGCAAAAGGTTGAAAAACCTGTTGTCCACTCAACTATTGGAAATCACTCCAAAAAAGGAATCATATGAGGGGCATCTCTTTTTGAGTTGTCACAATGCTTCTTGAAAACGTGGAAATATAGTTTTGTAAGGGACTCGCTCTTCTGGAGAGCTTTTTGCTCTTCTCCATTTAGAGAGTAGAGCAGTCAAATTACGACCAGAGGCGGAGCGACCGGGATGTGTGGGGGTATGGCAACCCCACCCAATAATTAATTCTAGTCGGCAAATAGAGCTTCGATCGGAAAATGAATCCAAAATCAGTTACATAAATGATATACGTTGGTCTTGGGCATTTTCCCTCAAACATGAAATGTAGCTTACCATGGATGTGAATTTTACAGGACACGAGGTTGGCGAACCAGTTACAAGTCGGCAACTTGACTCTGGCACACCCCTCCCCCAAGAAAATGCCTTCGCTACGCCATTGACTTTGACATTCCCAAAACCCAACCCTCTTGAATGGCAAACGAGTGGCAAATGCACTTTACGTCACAGTTTTGAGAATTATCCTCCTCTAAAATCGGATGATTGTTGAGTACAGAAAACCCAATCAAATTAACTTTCAAAATAGTTTTTAATGTTTGTTGGTTGTTCATTTCCATGTATGACACACCCAAAACACGAAAAGGATACTGACTCCTCCCTAAAAATGAAAAACAAAATTTCTGTGGCTTATCCGTACACAAAAAATCCACAGAATACATAGTGAGATACAGTGGTTCTGGCATTCAGAGGTTTTCCATCACTTTCCGTTAGATACTGGCAAAGCTCCGTCAAGCTCCTCTTAAAGTATTTCTCTCCCTTCTTGCGTCCTATGCCCAGCGTCCGCATGATCTCCACGATGAATTGTCGCTGATACCGGTGGAAAGGGCCGTATTCCAGGGCTACTATTCCTTTAGAGGCACATGAAATAAAGAAGGCTTTTATGTTATAACACAAAAATGTCAAGTTTAGGGTATCAAGAACCACAGATTTATGCGCTGGGTTTTGAGCTTTATTAACAGGGAAGAATTGGTCAGCGCTTTAAATGCTGAAGTGTTATTGTTTCCATAAATTTTCGTACGGTAGCGCATAGTACCGTGATGACTACTTTGTCCTTTTCTGGGGAGGGAATTTAAGGCGGACGAATCAGCCAGTTTTAAAATCCAGTCTTAATTAATTGAATTAGGCCTATATGACCGATAGATTGCAATCAAGTTGTTAGTGAAAAGTACTCTCAGAACTTCAAGTCATTCCCTGTGACTTAGAGATCGTCGTAGGGTGGAAACGAGAGACTGGTGAGTAAAAATGTCAGATTTTTCAAAAATACTCGGTCTCATCGTCAGATCAAAATATTCGCGGACGTCAAATTTGCTTCGCTTTCGCATTTATGAAGTATGAACCGGCCCGTATAGGCAAATGATTTCCGCAATCCTACAAACGACTCGTCCAATAAAGTTTAGTAAGAATAGTTCGTACGAATTGCGAATACATGTATCATGGACGCCATTTTTGTGCTGTAATTAAATTCACTACGGAATTTGCGACAGTGCTCTTCGGAGTATGATACCCTGTTTTGAAAGTTCACCGCTTGAATATTTGTTGTGCCCATCAGGGCATTATTATGTAATACGCACAGTAAGGGACCGATGAAGGGGGGGGTGTCTACTAAAATTCAGTGCCTCTACGAAACTGTCATAATAACCCACACACGACGCACACAGATAAGTGTGTAAAAGCCTACAATCGTGGACTCCCTATTGTTCCTCTTTTGTTCATACTTTTCCGGAAGACCTCCCATATGTTTTGTACACGTTTTCCAACCGTGGACTCTTCGGCAACCGTGGACCCTATTGTCCCCTATTGTTATAGGTCCACGATTGAAGGCGTTTACTCACTCACCCCCACATGAGTGTGTATTTGCCTGAAACTGGGGATCCCCTATTGTTCCTCTTTTGTTTGTACTTTAACTTTTTTAGAAGACCACCCATATGTTTTGTACACAGTTATCAATCGGGGACCCTCTGTCAATCAGGGACCTTATTGTCCTCTATTGTTCAGGGTCCCCAATTGAATGCAGAAACAAACTCACCCCTACAAACATTATACGCTTAAACCAAGTTTTAGCGTCTCAGTATTCGATTTTAGAAAGCTTCAACAGTATCAACTCGGGACTGAATTGCGATTTACCAGCAGGATATTTAATTGGTTCTGGTGCCTTCGGTGGGGTTGAGCCTGCGGATGAACAATGGTATCCATCGTTGTCCATCGAGACTTTTTAGGGGAAAATGAAATACACCCCAAATCCAGCTTCCTCTCATTATTTAAACAAACCGCTCTTTCTTTTCATTTGGGGGAGGGGGCATGGTTTCCGTTGGCCCTCCCCCTGGATCTAACCTTCCGGCGCTGACATAATAACGTGACAAACAAAATGGCTGCACCAGGAAGAGGGGAAGGGAAGAGGAGCTGTTGGTATTCATGTTGTTACTGCTTCGATGTGGGCAATGTTTGAAAGGAGCGCGTAGTCATTCCTGCCGGACAAAATTATTGTGGGTCAGGGGAGGCAGGGGCATGGAGTCTATTGGAACCTAACGGAAGAAGTATTTGCCGAGGACCCCGAGAAAATGCCGCCACTACCGTCACGGTTTTATTCCAGAGATATCATATTGTACAGGCCTGGATATTGTGGCTGTCAACTGTCATCCTGCAGAAAAAATGCACGCCTGACTAACTCACTTTAGCCACACAGTGTACACGTGCCGCCGAGCATACGGATACGCGCCAGCCGCGCAGCATAAGCTTTCGTTCGTCATACACCGTCATAAGACTTCTTCCGCGAAAGACAACAATGCTCGAACACGTTAGTTATTATTTACCGCAGAGCCACGAATAACCAAAATCGTTGCGGTAAAATCGGCTGCACACAGGAGTCATCTGCTTACGCCCTCGTACGGTGGTCACGAATGAACTTTGGCGAAGCAGATAGCGCCTGTATGCGCCAGGCTTGCATGAGATGCACCGTCGCGTTCAAAATGAACAAAGTCGATAAGGTTGTTAACTTTATATTGACAAAATACAATTATCAACTGCTCGAATATGCCGTGTTGATTCATGAAACGTACCTCCATGATCGAACGAACTGAGCGATATTAACCCGCTGTTCCGATATTACCGATTTACTGTGCATCACTCAATCACCTATAGGGCCTACGTTAGTCTCCGTTGCGATGGACCGGAACATCCTCACGCACGCAAGCCAAATTCCACGGCATTCTAAAGATTGGTAAAGCGATGAGTTTGATGGACAGTAGTCGTCGCCTTCATTTGCGACGACTGGTTTTATTTTACTTGATTTTTTTTTTACAATGATAGACCGACCTTGTCCACAAGTCCCGACGGCAAGAAAATTTGTCATAATATACAAACACCAACAGCTTTGCCGCAAATTAAATTCTCTAAAGAAGTTCGTCATTAACATCAGTTCATTAGGTGACTGTCAGTTTGAATCATCACGTGGTTGCCTTCGTGAATCTGATTAGTTAGGCCTAACTAAAACAAAGCGTATAGTCTTATTGAGTAACGTGGGAATCAGAGATTTAGGAGAAAGAAAATGGGTGCTGTTCTTTTTAGCTTGTCCTTCAAGGCGTTTTGTTTGTCCCTCTAGATGATAATTGAAACCTTTTCTTTTTATAGATAACATACCACGTTTACTGCCAGATCCACTCAAAACCCCCAGAAAGCTGGGCCTATCGTTGAAAACGACCCCCTGGGTAACTAGTGCCTCATGAATGACGTCCACTTCACTCAGAACGAAGATCCGAACAAATCCCAACTAGAGTGCACGTACAGATAGAAAAATTGGAGATGTATCACTTAATAGAGTTATCAGTTAATATTTGGACCGTTGGATGTGACATACATGTACATCACTTGTAATTCTCCCAACAATTCCAAACTTCAGAATTTTACTTGCCAATGAAAGAATTCCACAGACCAGATATACCTGGTATTTTAGCTGCTCTTACACATTCAGCACGTTCAGCATCAAGCATTTTAGTCAGGTCCGTTCTTCTTTCTTAATATGCTCGAATCTCAGAAATACCGCATTTTTAAGCAGGGTGTTTACAATGGGCATATTACACCGGGGAAGACCTCAGATTACCGAACGCTCAAAGAAAAAAAAATCCGCTTTGGAAATGTGTCTATGTGCAGTGACTTTACGAACAAAACTTTCAAGCTGTCTGCTTTTGTTGGGAATGGAGAAGACTCCCCAGCGACGAAAGCGTAATAAAGATTCTCCAATCATACCTTTATCGTAAGCACAGGTCCATACCTAACAGCAAGTTCACGCAGACGCTGGATCGGGTTACCCCGTAGTTCCAGGAGCGACCCGAGAAAAGGTAAGCCCACCGGCCCTGGTGGTAATCTACCTATGGTTGCACCTCCGAGCAGACGGCGATGGTAACAGTCTACCGAGATACACAGCAAGAGACAGACATTGATGAGCACAGCTAAAAGGATGCCTTGCGTCCCCATCATTGTCCACGGATAGATAAATGGATGCTCTAGTGGTAGAAGCGAACTGCCGCTGGAAGGTGGCAGGTCATCCGAGAACGACCCCTCGCTGTGTCGGTCGGCGTCCATCATCGCATTAAAAATTATCATATTAAGGTCATTGTCGCTTTAAACAATTGTTAACTGACACGTAGCTACTTGACGTCTGAACCTTCACAGCCCGATGGTAACAATTACAATAATGCAAACATGCGTCTCCTGTGGGCGAAATTGCGTACCATTTACCATTTACTATGTTCACGCACATAAACGACCTTTTTTCCACCCGGGCATGCACTGTACTCGCGTGCGTGGGATGCCCTTCAAACCGAGCACCTAATTCACCAACATGCGGATTGTCAATGCGCGTGGTTTAGAAAGGGCAAGGACGGAAGGCTGGTGACAGGAGGCAGTTTGAAAATGGCGCGAACGATAATTGTCCCGCAGGCTGAGCTATAAAAAGCTACAAGAAAAGTGGGGCATCAGTACTGTATGAGCGGCCAACAACGAAAAAAAAAATTCAGCATGCAGAATAAACAGATCGTTGCAAACAGAATGCCCAATGTCACCTGTTTTTCGTGAAGCAAGACTATCCAGTATTTTGCTCATTGCTCACACACCCACTCGCTGAGTGCTTTCAAAGCACATGTGGAGGGGGGTGCAACTCGATTGGAGTCGTCTGGGCTGTACAATTTACATGTATTTGCAATGCATTACACATGTACCCTGTGATGTGCGCCATTGCGGCGTATGACCTCGTGGGTGGGTGGGTGGTTGATGGAAGGTGCACAAACACTCATCAGTAGCAAACTGACAAAACAGTAGAAGGTGTCATTTGTTATTTGATGCTTAAATAGCTGTGTGACATTAAAACAAAACAGGGCAAAAGTTATTATTTTTGCCTTAGTAACTGGGTAGGCAGGTTTAATAAGTCGTGTTGCTGACACGTAGAGCGCACGGCTTCTACTAATGCACGCACTTCATACATTCTAATTTCAAATTTCAATTTATTTTGTAACCAATTTTGTAGATCACGTATTTGTGTTGCCTCAAATGCCGCATAATGAGCACTGAGCACTGTACTGGCATTGTTATTGAACTTATGTACACTGAAGAGCAGCACAGAATAGATGTTCCTTGAAATTAACGAAAGACAAAACGTCCTTGCCCTTCTCCGTAAATACAAGAGCGTGAGGAGACCAATGTCCAATCATGTTTTATTTCTCCATGGTCCAACTCACGGCAAATGAAAAATGGTTTCATATCTATGATGGTGAATCGAATCGCGCGCTCATCTTTTCAAGCAGCATGCGTGGATCGGAATGTTCGCCTTGATTGAAAGCCAGAAGGGTGTGGGATACGATATTAAGATTTTTGACGAATCCATGACAGCAGCCGTCACCTGCATACGATGGCTACTCAAACTTCCTACCTTGCATCTACCTGCAAGAATACTGTCTACAATTTAGTTATACTAATGATGCATGTTGCACTTGTGCAAACAATTATTCCCGAACACGCAAAATTGTACTACTGCACATACATGTATGTAAAATGGCATGATAAGAACCATCTCAATCACGTCTGTATGGCATCTAAGTAAGGCAAGCCTTTCACTGCAAAAAGCCCCTTGGACATTTTATAACGTTTTTAATCGACGTCCCTGCTGCCACGCTAGTTCTCCCAAAATTACTATTTTCGGCTGTTTCTCTAAAAATGGCAAATTTCCAAAATTCATAGGTCAGGACTGAAGAAACCGGGTACATGAAGATAAAAACTTGAAGCTATGCATGGTGCAGATAGACAAAAAAGAGTAGGTTTGCCATAACACCTTGTTGATTGATCTCTTTTGGAAAAGGTATAGTTCTGATAGGTTCCGATATGGTTCTCGCGTTTGGAACGGTGTGCTCTATCTGTTCATCCTCGGGACTGGAGTGCTCGACTTAGTTTGAGCGCTGGTATTTAAGGGCTGTGTGGGGAGCGCTGATGGTAAATAAGGGCTGTGTGGCAATTGGCTTGGATCCCTGGAGCACTCGGGTGTGACACGAATGCTTGACTGTGAGGTCGGTGATGCATGGTGGAGGATGCTTGAGCAGGATTGGCCTGAGCACTGACGCACTAAGGCATGAGAAAGAGGCCTGTGTTGACTGGTGGTAGATTGTGGATGGGGTAGTATCGGGTGCAAGGTAGGTTTCACCTAGAGGAGACCCTAACACCTGAGGAGGTGGCTCAGGTATAGAGGACCTTGTTGCTTGGGGGTGGGTTTTGGATATAGGAGACCTTGACGCCCAAGGCCTGGGACGGGGATGGCTTTGGTTTGGAGTACATGTACTAAACACTCGTGATTTACACGTATTTGTTTGAAGGAAAAGCTGCACATATTGTCCTTATTTACAGGGTACTTATTTAATTTAGATTTCTCTACACAAAAATACTAATGAAAACGTACAGAAATAGAGTGTGCATTGTTAAAAATACAAACAGTGAATATCTGCCTTGCACAATTAAATATCTTAGAATATGTGTAATACAAAACTGCTGCAAACTGCATGCTGGCTATAATGACCTAAAATACAAATCACAAAGTAAGGAGGGCCCAACGTTTCAATTCAAGCGGAATCTTTCTCAAAGGAAAAATGAGAAGTAGACAGAAAGGGAACCAACCAGTACCACCCACAGAACCAAAGGCACCATCACTTGTAGCTCTTCTAATGTCATACATCTTCAGGGTGTGCAGTATTCAGTATGTTGGACAGACTAAGAACACCCTTAAGAAGCATTTCTACGACCACAGATCTACAGTCAACACCAAGCAACAAGACATCACTCCAACCTTCCTAACCACTCCATTTCTGCCATGGTCCTAGGGCATTTAGAATCACATGGCCACCATAACGGTGCTGTTCACTTCACCAGGGAGCAGCTGAGGATCAAACGCCTCCACACCATACAATATAATGGCCTAAACACCCAAGAGGGAAAGTTCTACTAATTAATACCCAGATACACAGGATTGCATGGTGACATGTCAATCAACAAGTTAGGTTTACACCATGTATAAACTATCTCTTTTAGTGAGTGTTGTTCTGAGTGGAACAGGGAACTCAACATCAGTTTTAGGTAGTAGGCCTATGCTCTGCCCATCATCAGGATGGGTAGAGCATACTGCCCAATACATCGAGTTACAGGGTCTACTCAGAACCAACACTCACTTAAAGAGATAGTTTATACATGGTGTAACCACAAACTTAACTCGTTGATTAATTGATACTCCTTTCTCACCCTTGCTTTTGTCTGCAGATTATCCCCCCCCCCTTGGAGTCCACTACCTTCCATTGTATTTGTTCTTGGAACTCTTCTGACCTCGCATCCCTTCGTTGCTCAACCATGTCGGTTATGCACCCACCCTTACCACTTGCCCTTTATCCAGCCACCAGCTCTCTTGACCCTTCCTTTCGTCCTCCTGCATTCATCCATGCTTGGTTGATTCCCTGCTTGCTTGTTTGCCCCTGTCTACTTGTTATTTTGCCGTCTAGGATTCTTCTAAGAAGATTCTTCTAGGATTGAAACGTCAGGCCCTCCTTTTTTTGTGAATAAAATATTCTGTATGATTGAACCTGAAGTGTATTTTTCATACTGGAAAAACACATCTGCACAATGACACAAAAAAAGTAAATTATTTTTGTTTTGAACAAATTTCACACCTTTCTTTTTGGGGGGGGGGAGGATTTTAAGGCAACAATTAGAGTCATGCAAGGCTTTGTTGTGAGGTGATCAGGATATCTTATTTCTAAACGATTTAATTCATTCAACGCACATCAGTTCAAATTCACATGATAACTGTGCCCTATGTATTTACTTAATTTATCCTTCTTGATTCAGCATTCTCAACAACTAAGAACTCTCCAACATGATCATTTTCAAGAAGATGCAATTTAAACAAAAGAATTTCCGTGAACGGAAAAATGATAATATTTTGTATGCGCTAAATGAAAAACGAGGATGAAATTTCAAGGAACTTGTACAGAAGGATTATTGTCTGGGACTGGTATAGTTTCCAGGTCCTTAATTTCACTCCCTTTGTGAAGTCTAATTAGTTTTCATTACAAGTGGAAAAATTTGGGACCATGTGACTATACAGTCACTGATAGCAAAGAGAAAAATCTTTGAAACGAAAGCAGAACATGCAGAAGCTGTATCCTGGCTCCAAGCCTACCAGTCCCGTGTAAATGCTGTTATTTGGTCCAACTTCCACTTGATTATGATCATTTCACCGGTTTAACCTGTAAGCCACATGAACAGGGGAAAGGGAAACCTGTTACTGGTGTGGAAGTTCTCAAAGGAATGAGAATAATACTCTGAGAATTTCCTCTGTCTGATGTACTTCATTTCAGAACCCATCTTTTACCCAAACTCACAGAATCGACATCGAGGCCATGGCTTCTGTAAACAAAACAATAGAAAGCTAGCAAAAATATAAGAAAAACAGTTCACAGTTAACAGGAACAACAAAACTATCACATCAACGACATTGACTAATTATTCAGTTAATAAAGAAAGGATTTGAGACTAAAAACATGGAATAAATGCCTATGTATCAAGAATCAGGTTATCTGGGAAATAAGCAAGTTAAGAAAATGTCTGAAACTTCTCAGAATGTTCAGCGCTTTATTTTAATGGCACCAAGGAAGGGCCATGATCCACAGAATGGGTGCTTGCCTCCCCCAGAAAGGGGATAAAATATCACCAGTTAGTTTGAAATACCTGGGACTGCTGATGAGTCCTCCCTCCCAGAGAAAATGGGAGCTCTGTACAAAATCAGCTTCTAACTAGGGAGGTGAAATTAGACCCAGTTCTAAAAATACACCTCTCTGTTTTTACGACTCAATATTTATGGCATGCTGCCTGAATGAAGCCATGGGTTTCATTGAAGTCATTGTAAGATACAATAAGGACTGTAGTCCAAACCCTGAATCAATAAACCAGTTTCTTTGAACTGGTGCCAAAACTGTGGTTGGGAACCTTTAGCTCACCAGGTGCTGTGCTGACTCTCACTCATCAGGGGCCTGTGTGTGTCTCACAGGGCTATAATCTTTCTTTACCAGTCAGACACCCTTCCCTTCCACCAAAGCCCGCTTTCAAGTATTTAGAGTTCACAGAAAGTAGTTCTCCACTATCCCCTCCCCAAATGACACAACAGCCCACGTTACACTTCAACAACTAACAATACGGGCATCACACACAACATGTTCTGGGTATAGCTACATGTACATATGATAATGGTCTACTTTCCCAGTAACTCAACCTGCTTTAGAAAATAGTGCAGAATCTGTATTTTTTTTACTCTAAACATTCACAAGAAATAGCTCATAGTGCTGACCCCACACTCTACTTGTTGAGCATCATCCTTTTAAGTTTTTCTCTTATCAAGCTGGTCAGGTTATAGGCCTAAGGGACTTGTATGTTCGTACTCACAACTATCTAATTTTCCAATTCAGACACCCTGTAACCTCTCAACCAGTGACTGTACAGAGCCGGTATGAAGTATAACACGCACAGTATTAAATTTGACATTGTTACTTTCTGAATTGTTATAAATGGTAGCACTTGTTATAGAAAACAAACTATGTTTCTGCTGGGCCTAACTAAATGGATGCAGACTTGCCAATGTGTGAGGCCACGGGGTTGTTAGTATCCAAATGAAATAAAGCCCCCTGTACAATTATAGCCTCCCAGGAAGGTTCAGACACAGTGCTTCAAAACGTTGGGGGTAAATAAGCCTGATGTTTGGTGTGTTTGGCATAACAGATGTTTGGGAAATGAAATCGAAAGGTGAAATACGTGCAGTGTACTTGAGAATTATCCACTTTTCTTTAGTTATGAATACTGTGAGGAATTTGTGATTCATGATTTGGAACTGCGTTTTGGAAAAAAGTGAAGAGAATACACGTAGTGAAAGGGATAGTAATGTCTCACTGTGTTCCTGTGGGGAGGGAGATTTCCCCTCCCCTAATGGAAGTTTGTGCTTCTCAGGTGCCCCCCCCTTGAAAATGTGCACAACCTATTGTTGGCTGTTGGTGCCTCCATGAAAAGTGCATGTCCCTCACCTCCTCCAGGTACCAGTTCAGAAATCCCCCCCTTCCCCTAGTCACACTACTGCCCTCCCTCCATTCCCCCTAAAAGTCCTTCAGCCACACTCTCCTGATTTATTGGTATTTGAGGCAGTGACTCCATTCTGGAAACACACATGAATTCACCAGAAGATAAAGAATATGAAGCTGAAGAAATATAAGTAAATGCAACTGGAGTGACCAAAATCTTTCAAATCTAGAAAAGCCAAAAAAAACCCTAATTGAAGGCAGACTAAGGCAGGAACAAAGAAGTAAAGAGAAAGGAGCTAAATGGTATAAAAATTCCCATCTTTAGCCACGATTTGATGAATTTTCAGACTCTTTGCTGTCAGCATGCAAACTGTTGAACCGAAAAATCCTCTTTTCATAATAAAGTCCCACCTTATCACAACTGTGTGCACGGGCATATACTGTCTTGCAACTGGGCACACTCATTCTAAAAATACATGTGTAGTTTGCAGTATGCACCGACCTCCTTCAGCTACTGTACTGCTATTGCACCATATAGTCCACAAATGTGTTGTTCTGTCCTTGGTAAGTATTCAGGACTTCCCAGAGCTAGCTTTGAATTAGGGTCAGTAGACTTTTGCTGGCTAACTTGTGTCTCGTGATCTGCCTACTTTTACCGGTTGTGAGGCAATTGGAGCTTGTACTTTGCCCTCACTGTGTACTTCCCTGTGTCGGCAGCACATTCTTTGTCAGGAGAACTATTTAGAGATTGTGTGGTGCTTGCCAAGAAATCCCTGCCCAATCACCCATATCGTAACTCTTGGTCAACACTCCCCAGGTCTCACGGTTGATTTCAGATAATGGTTTCATAGAAGTGGAACAAGCACTTTCATGTCTTGCATTGTTCAAAATAACCCAGAAAACAATCTTGTGCAAACACACAAGAAAAAGTGTATTTACTGGCTTGTACATGTCATCAAAAGAAAAAGAATCACCATAAGTTGGTTGTTCTTATTTGATCACCCACAAAACGGGTGGAGAAGCTTAAATAAACACTCTGGAACTAAAATTGTATGAACTGTTGATATACATGTAATGTATCACCCCTGGAGAAATTGAAGGCACACATTCCTTCTGGTGCACTTTGAGTTCTGTATGGAAATTTGATGGAAGTATCAAATGCTCTGAATTTCGGGTTTATGATGTTGAAAATTTTCCATGTTTGGAAGAGAACAAAACCTATTTCAGTTGAATGTGGTAATTGCTGCATCCTGTGAGCAACAACACATGTGTTTCAGTATTGTCTTTCTTTGATGTTGACTGAATTCTTCATAGCTTGCTATCGATACCTCCCGCATACAATTACAGTTGCTGTGGTTTGAAATTCAGATTGCTTTCCCATTGAAATAATTATATCCGAGGGACTATATTCATCTTAATGATGTATTGCCGTCATTTAAATCGATAGACCTTGTAACATGGTAGACACAGGCTAGAAGTACCCCACCTCGCCCGTACATAGCCTTATGCCTATACTCACTTGAGTCCCCAATGACATTCCATGAAATTAACCTTATTCTTCATTTGGATAAATCCTTCAGGTTTGAAGCTTGTGAGTAATGCACATGCACAATTTTCCCTCTGTACTTAACCACGCCGAAAATAAACCTCCTTGCATTTCAAACTGAAGGACACGCACAGGAAAAGAAATGTCCGAGACTTTGATATGAATAACCCTGGATTGCTCAAGTGAAATTCTAATAATACATGACAGTGAGTCTCTTTCTTGTCTCAAGCATTCTGAGATGCATTTCCTTACAGTGATTTTTCTGACTGGTACTGTAACCAAACAAGACTTTCCTTGGAAAGTGAGTCAGTGCTGATCATGGTGTTGATGAAGAGCGATTGGCAATGTACAAATTTGTGCTTCAGAGACAAAGTGGGCCCTTCTCATGCCAAGTGTGTGTATTCACCAGGTTTTAAACGGTGTTCCAACCTTGTCATTGTTTTGTGGACCTGTGAACAAGGCAGGTCCAAGCAATCATGGGGCCGTGATAACTTTTTGTGGACAACGCCAAGTCCACAAAAGGTTTTCCCTTCTTTGCCAAACAGGTTTAGAGGGGTTTGGGGTAAGGCTATCTGCAGCCAAAGGAAGTGGAACAGAAAAGATAACCATAAAAATATTCTCCTGAACACTGTAAATGCCACTTTGGGAAAAATTGCTTTTTTCATCAAGTTTTCTTAAAAACACACTAAAAGAAATGAATATATCCACACTGGGTACACACACACAAATATACAGCGACTCCAGCCTAACTACAACTAATAAGCAATTGTAGCTGATCATGAGGGGCTAATGTGCAAAATGTTGCCTAGTCACCTTAAACTGATTCCTATTTAAATCTAAATTATACACAAGTGCAATGTTACTTATAGCAATGATATCATGTAGCCAATGCTAAATCTGAGGGTCTAATGTGCAACCCTTTTTGTTTTGTCACGTAATAGCAATTAGATTCTCTTTATCTCTTGATTCAGATGCACTTTGGTACTGATGTCTTTCTTCTATAACTTCTTATTTGTAAATGCGTGGCTCACTTAATGGAAATGGGACCTGCTTTAGCTTAACTCTCTTTTTGATTATTATATTCATGTATGAATGTATGGGTGTAAATCAGCCATCCGGATGCTGTGCATTTTCAGCGGCTTGGTTTTTTTGTTCCAAGATAAACCAAAACTACTATTAATAATAATTAGGTAGGCCTACACATTCTATGGCATGTATATGTATATAATGACATGAACTTCACAGTATGATGTGTGCTATGTTACATACCATACTGATGCCGATGATACATGGCTGCCAATTGGTCAAAGTCAGGAGATAAAGAGGAGATCCTTTTGCATCATTAAGTGTTGGATTTTTTCAGACGTCATGGACGCTTGTAAGGATTTCTAGTGTCTACTCCATTTACCACAGAAAGTCCACCTGTTCCCTTACTTTGTTAAAAAAACCCCTAACGACTACAATTCTTACCTCCTTGAGGTATATGTTGAAGGCAGTTACCACAAATTCCTCTCGTGTCATCATCTGTCTGTGCTCGCTCTGACTGGCAAACAGTAGCTGACAAAAGGTGGGATATTGAGGGGAAAAAAGCAAATCTTTCTTTATTTTCTTGACTTAAGATACAACGCAAATGAGCTAGTCTGGTTCCTATTTCTTAGACCAAAAGATTCCTTTCACCACGAGTCATTTTTCGGACTGGCAAGCACCATGGTCATGTGACCAATTCCTCCTTTTTCCGAAAGTTTCAAAAAATAGTTGAAAGTTTCCAAATCTATTTTGTTGATATTCAGGTACTGTATCAATATCGAATATGTCAGGCTTGTATACAATGTTCCTCCTTGCATCGCAATTGAAAAAATCCAAATATGTTTGCTTGTTTGTATTAATTGATCTCGACTTTTCTATGACTTTGATTATGCCAACAGTTTCAAACCAGATGGATGTGCTTGCGCTGCATCTAATAATACAAGTAGCATCCTAGACACCGTAATGAAGAGATGATTGATACAGTAGGGATAAGGCTTAGGGTGCTTTCAAATCTGTTGTCTGGAGCTAGGTCTAGGTTATCACTCCACTGGAAATATGCAGAGACATGCAGACAAGAGACCTACATTGTAGCCACAGCTCTGGAAACCCGTTTCAGACATAGCCTATTAAAGTCAGTGCAGGATTCTTTCCCGGTCAAAAGAGGGCGCTCTTAAAAGTGGATGCAGAGCCTCTTTTCAGCTCACTGAATTTGATGAGGAATTATATTGACACTTGTGTTTGCACTGGCAAGAGGCACTCTTTAAAAATGCCACAGATTTCTACATGTGTTCACTGTATGGGCAAGATGCAACCAGTTTCTTTAGGTCATCTTCATCTCCTACATTTACCCCAGGAGGGAAGTGCAAATCTTTGAATTATGTCCATGCAGCATTGTAATTGCGTCATCTATTGTCCACTGTAAATCAAGTCAGAGGCAAGTCAGCGTAGTCACAGGTAACTGAGGATCTTTGGTGGATCCAGGAGGTAAATGGGGCATGAAATTTTCAATCCGCCCCCCCCAAGGAGGCCTCTTTTTAAGACAAGTCATTTTTAGGTACATTGTTATAAAAGCCACAATATTAAGATTTTACCCTCGGAAAGGCCATAGGGAATACATAACCAGATCCTCACATTTTATTCCTCCCAACAAAATTTGGTTCTGGATTTGCTCTTTTGAAGAATGAGCTGGAAATAACAGTATGACTCTGTCACGACTATCTGCAGCTGGACCTGTTTCTAGATGTCTTATTATGCATTGAGATGCACTTGTTAGGACTTCTGATGGACTTGACTGCAATAATGGCTTTTTCTCACAAACTGGATAATAACTAGGGATTAAATTCTGAACAACATGGCTACATGGTGTTTCAGGTTTAATGGCTTCTGGCTAGCACCCCTCAAACAGAGATATTGACAAATGGAAAGAGCCACCAACATAGGGCTGGACAGCTAAGATGGTAGAGCACTGGTACAGTATTTGAAAGGTCGCAGGTTCAAATCCGGCTCCAATCAATTTCTTTGTTCGTCTTAATAATCAAAATAGTTTTGGACTAAAATCTGCTTCCTAAAAAAATTGAAAAAGTGGTTGCCAACCTGCCTAACTGAGCTTGCACCGACAACTTACAAGAAGTAAAACCGGTACAAATGAAATGCATTGCCAAAAGGATTCTGTTTTGTTCTAAATGTGAAAAACAAATCTCGCCACAAAAAACAGATTGCCAATTTTTCTTACCTCTAATAAGGAGTCAGTTATTACTTCGTTTGTCAACTTTGATCCTGCTGTCAAAATTCTGTCAATAGTTTTGAAATAAAAGGGGAATAAAAATGCGAGTTTTAGACATCCTTCTTTCAAGATTCATAAGAAATGCCCTCCCTTGTCTGATAATATCAATTTCTACAATGCTGTATTCTGTTATTGGACAGTTTGCACAAAATTGAAGGGAAATAGGTTGATGTTCATGTCGCTGTAGCATGTGCAAAACTCTGCTTTCAGTGTTTCTGCTCTCAGCCGACTCAGTAAAGCAAGCATGCATTTTATGTTTAAGGTGTCTCACACTCAAAGCTGCAGAAGCTCTTGAAATCAGCCGATGATACAGCAAGAGATTCCAGCTGCAAGGAGTTTCAATCTCGTATTTATGCACGCTCGGCCGAGCTACAAAATGGGGCCTGGACTTACGAGACTGGGTCTGTGGACCTCACTGCTAGTGCATCCTGCAATTCCTGCAGCATGGCGGTTGCCAGCTCATGATCAACTAAACCCCTGCCTTGGTGGGTTGTTAACAACTGAAACAATTCTTCCGTTTGTTTCAGATATTCTGTAAAGGTGGAGAGAGGATAAAAAGCACGCTGAATTCTTCGAATGCTATGCATGACTGTGACAGTCTGCATTAGCATCTTTTCCACACCCCATTTCTTTTTTTTTTCCCCTAACAGGGCGGGGGGGGAACCATTACAACTTTTTTTCCAATATTGTTGCAGTACTGGTTTTCATGAGCTAAGCCATTACAAGTTTTTCATTAACACTTTGCAGTCATTTAATCAACACTATTGTGAAAATGGAACATACTGTTCTCGCACAGTGCCCATTTATCTGAGACAGGTTAGCCAAGAGTGTATGCTTGTCCATTCCATTCTCAATGCACGAAGGCTGGCACGCATGTGGTCTTGAACTTTAACAACAAAACTATATGTCAAATTGAAACTTCACAGTTGTACTGATAAAGAGTGCCTCTACAAGCATGCAAAGTTTTGAAAAATCAGGCATACGCCATTTGAGTTCTTAGGCTTTGGCTGTGAGATTGTCTGAAATAACCCGGCTCCATCTTTTAGGGTTGAAGGTTTAATGCAAGAATTCAATTTGCAAAATGACAATCATATTACATTTAACATTCCTTATCCATTCTTGAATGCACTGACCTATTGTCTTAAATATAAAAACCCACACAAGTGCAAAACGTCCACTGTCTGTGTGCTGTAATTGGTTTCCATGTTATTCTGACCAATCACAGGATAGAAATTTACAGGAATGCCAATTTTTGATGTAAGGTATGGATGGCACACTTCTCTTCTGTCTAACATCCCAGTGACTCAGGGGAAGGAAGTGGCCATCGCACAAACTCACCGATCATTACAAAGGCAGCCATGACTCCAGAGTGGAAAACGCTGGGGTAAATGACTTCCTCATCTCGTGGTCCAATCTTCTTAAGTAGTTGCTCACAGAATGGAGCAGGAATAGTACTGCAAACAGTGACATAAAATAAATTCTTCACATGATGTGTGGGAGACTGACAGTTGCTTGAGAAGTAGCAAAATCCTGAGTTTTTCAATAGCTCTGGAAAAAATCATGTAAAATATATCTACTATGGAGGAAATAATTTGTCCAGCTGAAATTTTCGTTTTTCAAATTACCACCAACACTTGGAATATCAGTTGTTCCATTGGGCCTGTTTGTTTCATGTGGATCCAGATTGCGATTAGTGATCGGACGCTGGTTTGTGGACACTGGAACCTGGCTGATGGATAGAGTGAACCAGCTTTGGGGTCACTGATCAAGATCTAGATCCATGTGAAACAAACAGGCACTCGGATTCTGATCCAAGAGCTAATCTAGGTTTAGATACTAATCCAAAATTCATCCATGCTTAAACACTAATTAGGGGTGCTTCACGATGTAACAGATCCTCTTTTGACACGTCTAAGTTTCAAAGTTTTGATTCTTAAAAAAGTTTTTTGCAAAACTGATAAACAAGTTTACAGTCATCACAATGCTGAGAATAGAAAACCAGGACAGAGGATCATAATACACCTCTCAGAAAGCCCACCTAAGGTTACCTTGATGGTTTGTTACTGATTCAGGGAAGCAATGCCAGATCAATTACAATGTGTAACTGAATACTGGCGCACTCAGTCATCAAGTGACCAACTTTGCCTGGGTTGAAGCAAAAATGCCTGCTCCTAGCAAGCCCAGGCAAAAAATATCACAATGCAAGTAGTTACCTGCATATCAGACTGAGCACTTCTCTGTATGTGCTGCCTGTTAAGCCAGCCAGTGTCCTAGATCCTGTAAGGCAAACAAACATCACCAAAAAACTGTGATTCATTTCAAAAACTGATGTCACTTTGAGTTTTAGGTTGGATTAAATTCACATTCTTTTAGTGAACTGTGCCAAAATTAGCAGTTCAAACGTGTAAGACATTTTTACTGTAACTTTCAGAAGGCAGTGGCAAATGAATTCAAAGCTCTGCAATTCTGAGGACATTTTTCAAATTTGAGGTTAACCTTTGACCTGAAATATGTAATGGTGACCTACTGGAAAGTTCTGGGCTCACCTTTTATGGGATATTTCTCTCAAAATATTCAAGCCAACAAGCTCATGACGTCAACTTACCTGATGATGAACACAGGATTTCATAAGCCGTAGCCACATTGTTTGCAAAACTTGGCTGATAGTGGTCTGTAAGTGTGAGATACTGATAAGCGCGATTCAGACGATTTGACTTCTCTCCGATACTGCTGAAGCTAAAAATAAACAAAAAATCACCGAATTAAAGAATTCTCCACAAAATGTATAGGTATGTCATGTGAGTATAGATTCTTGTCTATGAGAAAGATTTTGCATTCAGCGAGGTGCCCATAAGAAAGTCAGAAGGAAAGTCGCATCTCCCTTTTAGCACAATCCTACGAAAGTCTATGCTGGAATTCAGCTTGGAAGTGCGGGCCCAATCCAAGAGAATATTTCCTACATAGAAACAAACTGAATGTATAACATATTTTTACCCCTTTTTCAAGTCCCTTGGCAAAGGTCCAATAATTAGGCTACAAATATTTTCTCCTGGTCAATTTACACTGCTGCCCCCTTAAGAGATTCCGGGAGAATAAGGGGGAAAATCTACTGGCCTCATAATGACAGTGCCAGTGCTACTTTTCTTGTGCAAAGTGTAAGTCTGACAAAAAGGTTAAAATCATATCCAGGAATGGGTTCAAACCAAGGCAACATGATGTCAAAATCTGAGGTTTCACTAATGTTTTTACTCACTACTGTGCAAGGAAGGCGACGGCATCCTCAGGTCGATTAGAAAGAACCTTTGAGAGGGCATCTCGGATCCAGCTTCCAACTCCACTTCGCTCTGCATACAAATTTACACTTTGCAAGTCTCAAACTCTAAAACCATTGAAATGTTTTTATTATATTTCGGGTGGCCCTGTGGCACGAAGTGTGACTGTAAATCCTTCCATCATTTAGCCTATCACCTTCAGTCTTCAAATCTTATCATTTCAGTTACAAAGATGAAAAGTTGAAGTAAGCCTAAAGCCTGAGATTGCTGAGAAGAACCAGCAATAGTCCTGTGCAATAGGCCCAGGCGTACACACAGGTTTTCGGTTACGGTCATCATGGTTATGTTGGTTGATCGCATGGTGCAGATCAAACGATTGGCCCAAGTCTGCTAGTATGCCGGGAAGAGTTCCATATACAGACACCAGTAATTCTTCCCTATGGTGGCTCAATAGCCATCAGAAAGCAAAAACATGTCCAGAAAAGATCAAGTTAGGAGGGAAAATACAAAGTCATTTACTGAGAAAACACAATTGTTCGGACCAGTCTCAAAGGGTTTGTGCACGGGGTGGTAAGTGAAGTGGCGTCCGTATGTGGAACTTTTCCATAATACCCACCATGCACCGCGTACCTATTTCGAGGACACTATGAATCACCTTTTAAAACATTTTGGACATTACTTGCGTCCTCGTTACTCTCGGACTGGCATGCATGGACACCCATGCATGATGATGATGGGCATCTACTGCAGCATGCAGCAGCACTCAAAATCACAAAGTCACGTGCTAAAGAGCTACTTATCAGAAGTACTATACTGGTACAATTATAATCTAGATCATGACCAGTAAAATCAGATATAACATTTCCTCATACCATACCTAGGAATTCGCGTTTACTTTCATTATTCCCTGAATCAATTTTGTCGTCTGCCCTCTTGTCAGACATTTTTCTCAATCTGCTCTTTCTATTTCGTCAAATGAGGGCGCACTATTAGCAAAGCGCACATGTATTTCAAAAGATATTAAAAATTCCAGATTACGACCGCTAGGACAATTTCTTTCCTATTTCACAAGTGTTAGTTACCTCAGTCTTTCTGATCATGTTGTGCCCCGAGATACCCCTAAATTAGTATTCAAACTCGGGCTCAGGTTGCCCACCTCTATGTGCAAAATAGTCCCGCCCACAAGTTGGAGGTTTTCTGAAATCCCTTGACCTTGGAGCCACAAGTTGGCAAAATTTAGAGGAAAATGTTCCACAATCAGTCCGGAATATGGCACTAGTTTGTTGTAGGTACTACTCGAAGAATCACAAAGTATAAATGAGCTCTCGCGTAGGAATCTATGATAGCGAGTTAGTGGAATGCAGCCCCTCAAAAGCCCACTGGCCTCCATGAAGCATAAATTTTACGTGTCAAAAGTGAATTAAATGAATTATTTTTCATAGTTCTATCATTGGTTTTCAAGCTTGTTCATACTACATTGATTTTTGCCAAGTTTTAAAAATATATATTTCTATTTTCTACTAGACCTTTTTTCGAAACCTTTTTTCTATAGCAGGGAAAAATGACTCGTAAAAATTAATATTCCGAATAAGAGTCTAATAAAAAAATCTTAACCCGCGCTTCGATTTTTTTTCAATTTCACAAGTGTTAGCACTTCAATTATTTTAAACTCAAATCACTTGACTTGGACTCGAGTCGGACTCATAACCTGACTTGTAACTATCAGTTTGTGACTTGACTTGGACTTGCAAAAATTGCCTTGCTAACATTTCAGAATAAATTGATTTCTGGTAACTCTGAACCAACAAAAAATTGTGAGGGGCGCGACACGATCACAGACGTATAAACCACTGTGAGGTGATGTAAACACATGGGTAAGATTTTTATGTTCGTCCTTTAGAGGCGAAGATGACCATTGACTTCAGAAATGTCATCACTTAGAAGTTGGGTGAGTACGGAGGTGGCTGGGTTAGGTCGATCTTCGCACACTGCCTACCGTGACAGTGGGGGCAGGGAATGTTTGGAATTGAAGGAGGGTGGAACTGATGCGCTCCTTCCTCATCTGACGTCTGTGTTCCTATACTCTGATGCGGTTTTTCTCAAACTCATCAACACCAGCTTTCACAAGGGTTCGCCAATCAGGACGGTCCTCTGCAGATACTTCCCAGGTGGCTTGGGAAATGTTGCATGCTTTGAGAGAGGCCTTTAGAGTGTCTTTGAAGCGCAACTTTGGTCTGGCAAATGTGTGCTAGCCAGAAATCAGCTCCCCGTAGAGTAGTCTCTTGGGGACGGTAGGGGGCGCTATCCATGGCAAACGTTGCGTATTACTTGTGCATGTGACGTGCAGATGCTTGAGCAAAATAAAGCAAATCCGAAGACCACTCGGTTCGTTGACGGCAGGACGTAAGACAAGTGAGTGACACTGAATGAAAGTGCTTGACTGCTTGGGAAATTATGAACAATTGTTTCTTTGTGAATTGGTTGTTTGGTCTCAGTGACATTACATAGGCCGGAAAAACTAACTGCTAAACTAGTGCTAGGCCTTTTGCTTATTGGCAGTACTGCTGCAAAGACGTGCTTGTGCCTAGGCCTGCGTTCTAGGCCGGCCAATTAAAGATTATGCAAAGGTACTACTTTCCTGCTGCATAATAAGCAAGCTCAATTGCCATGATCAACCTCATAGCCAGGTACAGGTCAAAGTGTCACCCTCTTCTCAAGGGATTTTCACCTTGTACCCATGTAACCAGTCATTCCAGGGGTAATTTTTAAGAGTGGTGGGGTATTCTGCACTCTGCCCAGCATGCATGTGCGCAAGGTAGGCTATGGCCTAGGCTACTTCTGGAAACTGAAAATTACCCCCTCTGTGAAATTTGGTTTCCACAAATAAAAGAAGTGTTCAACTTGCCCAAGTACCCAGTTTGCTCTCCACACCTCACATTGTTTGCATTTGGTAAAAGTTAGACTTCAAGTTTAACTTTGCACAATCAATCATGGGGTTAGCCCCACTAGTGTGGCACAGACTCTCACTCCAGATCCATCCTTAGGATAAATCGGGAGTGATCCATGCCACACTAGTGGGGCTATCATGGGGGTCACTGTATTTGTCCAAAAAGTTAGTTAGGCCTACTTATTCCTCGTTTGACATTCGACAGTCAGTGTTGAACAAGTAATTGTTTGATATTCAATGTTGAATGAGTAACCTTTTGACATTTGGGGACTGCTCAGGATGTGCATCCCTAGAAACAATGGAGTGCAAAAGGAACAAAAAACAAACTGCGTCACCTACATTTGAGCACTTGTTTGAGTAAACCACGAAAAACCCATGCCTTGGTTGCAAGGAGTCATCGCAGATTGAGGAGAACAATGAGATCAGATTCAATGTAATCTCCGGGCGGGGCATGGGGTTTGGGTATTTTATTTCGATTGGAGAAAAGTGTGGTGTGATGCATTCACTTTTCTACTCTGGTTTGCAAGCAAAAACCTCCACCGACAAATTGGTTTATAGTCAAAGCTGTTTTGACCGTGAAAAACTTCGCTGCCCTGGTTGAAATGGAAGCAGTAGGGATGCTAAAGTGTGATGCTGAAGTGCTATAGAAACACTTTGAAAATAAGTTTAAACCTGGGGCGTGGGCTTGATGTATATTAATTATTATTTTGAGTGACTAGAATATTTCCATGAAAACAGCAGATGTACATATACCTATAACTGACCATTATTCCTCAAATAATTGTGTATATGTATGTATGCATCATTGTGAAATGGCATGTACAATGTAAATAAGGCTGAATGTGAATGGATGTGCTTGGTGGCGCAGGTTTTTTTTCTGTGCCTTTTGCGCTCCATCATTTTTAGGGATGTGCATCCTGAATATCAAACGGTTACTTTTTTAACATTGAATATCAAACGGTTACTTGTTGAATGTTGAATAAGGAACTTATAACACATCGGTCTTTAACAGCCAATCTTTAAATTTCTAGCATTGACATTACCTCTGTTAAGTTATTTTATATGTATACACGGAATTCAGTTAGGCCCTAAATTAGTTTTGTCATTAGAGGGCAATTTTTTGGTGGGGTACTTGGCGAGGTCCGACTACGTCTGTCAGATCCAATTTTCACCCAGACCCAGTTTCGTTTGTGTTGCCTCCTGTATCTGGAAGGGGGAACAACAAGTCCCATGGTTCTAGTGTTACAGGTGTGACCCCCTGCACAATGATGTAGGAATCATTCTCAATTTAAAATGTATCATGAAAAATATAAACTGGCTGGTGGGATACAGTATTCAGGCCCTCATCTTTGGTTTCTTTTGTGAAATATTGAATTATGTTCAATAACATTGAGCAAAATTGGCCTGTTGGCATGCTTTACTGCACTCAGGATCTCTGTCTGCTTGACTTGTGAAGGGTCCTTAGCATTTGCCCACATCTTCAAGCAATTTCTTTTAATGACAGTAAATCTTGTCCACATGTTGTAGTCTGAGTAAACTAGACAGTCCAACAATGTGGGGTCCCGCCACCAGTCATGTCCTGCTCATCACCTTGGCAGTTCTGTGTGAGCGAACTGGGCAGCACAGCTCTCTCGATGCCAGCAATTTGGACATTTTCTACGACCCCGCTGCTAAAGCCCCACTGGGCTCCCACCGCGAGCCCACCGACTTTCTTGATGAGTTGTATGAGGTCCCTGGACCCGAGGAGTTCAACCGGCGCTATGTCAGCCAGTACCGCCCCGTGGTCTTTCGGCAAGCTGCGCGGCAGTCCAAAGCGTACCATCTGTGGACTGAAGAGTATCTCACCCAGAAGTACGGTAACTTGACTGTGAGACTAGAGGCAAGGTAAAGTTTGAAAAATAGATTACTGAGCTCATAAAGTTGATTTTTTGAGGGGATGGAACCTTTGAAAAATCCCTGAAGTCAGTGAACAGTGTTCATTGTGCAGAGATTGTGAGGGAGCTCATTTGAGGTTGTTTGTCAAGAAATGCCCTAAACCGTATAGATTGTATGCCTTAAGTGATAACAAGAACAGTGCTTTCATACATCACAGAATAGCAGGAACAATGAGCCATTAGTTTTCTGTACCATCCCAAACCACATGGCCTCTTACTCCGGCCTCTTACTCCCTGGCCATTTCCAAACTGCCTGAGCACTCTGTGGGCTTTGTGCATTTGCCAGTGAATAAAGACTTGTGTAGTAAGTGTGAGACAGGTGCTGAGGGAATGAAATGAAAAAAAAATACACAGCTATAAAAATTACTTGAATCCTCATCGTCAGAATGGATGTGTCTTTCTTTTCAGAAAGAGACCAGATGTAAGCATGTTTTCATTATCCCTTTCTAGCTCCAACCCTTCTGCTCCTTGAGGCTAGCCAAACAGTCTGAGAAATACCCATGCAGTTTACAGATTTGTCCATTTAATGATATGTCTCAGACACGAAGAGAACTCGCGAATACCGGCTGGTGTTGGGGGCCTTGGGCGGGACACCATCGCTCATTTCCTGCAGCACTACCAGTCATTGGACGGCTACATCATATCCACGGTCCCTTCCCCAATGGAGCCTGACATTGCCATCCCTCCCTGCTTGACCTGTGGCTCTTTCTCACGAAGCATTCAGGTTGGTTAGTTCCTTGGTCAGTGGAGAGTTCCTGGTCACTTACAACCTACAGTGGCATGTTTTCTCAGAAACTCATGAGGGCGCCCTCTGGTTGACCTTATAATCTGATACTAAAATCATGTGGCTTACGGGAAGGGCGAAATGTTTTTGAAATTGTAATTTTTTGCACGTTATCAAGTCATTGATTTTGCCCATCTTGTCTTATATGCACAAAACACAATATGCCCTGACCCATGTGTGTGATCAAAATGTAAGTTTTACATTAAGTGGCTATCTGCATTGACTTCTCTTGCAATGTAATTTTGCAAACCTACCACTGCTGAAGGTAAAACTGACTACAAATATTTGACACTTGGAAATTATGGCTGTTTACCAGTTCTGTGCATTGGATTCAATTTTGTCACGTTGGCAACAGTGACGGTAAGTTTTTCCCCAAAATAATTCAATGTGACATGGCTTTTGTGTGAGAGGAAATCTGCCTGACATTGGGCTAGCAGTAAATATTGAAGTGTCCGTCAAGAAGAAACAATTTTTTTCCTCTAAGAACAAAGTACCCATTGATTGTTTCTGGGGAGATTTTGTTGAGTTGCACCAGGGGCAACTGCCGTCAAAAGCAGGGATTGTGAGCATGAAGGAGTTGGAAAACTGCGGAGAATTTGGTCATTAAACACCAGTCTTTTTCCTGTAGGAAGTCCACTTGTTTCTGAGCTCTAAAGGTGGCAAGACCCTTCTTCACAGAGACCCGTACAGCTCAGTGCACTGTGTCTTCAATGGAACCAAGCAGTGGCTTGTCATTGATCCTAAGCAGGTCAGTGTAAAACTGTACCCCACTGACATTTTCTCTCACCAGTGCCTGGCTACTGATGTCTTTACATAGCGCATGTCATGTTTCACAACTTGCCTTGAAATTTCTTCCAGACTATGTTGTCAGAGGCTTTGTGGTTTACTGTTGAAATTCTGGGTTCTATGCTCAACCATAACTTAACCACTTCCTGCCTGGGCAGTTATCAATGTTAATGATGCTGGGCTGGGATATTTATCAGTTTTTTCTGTTTTCGAAATTCTTTAACAATTCCTATCTTCATTTACTGGACACTTACAAACACTTGAAGGACTGTCTGGTAGCCCCTCTAGCCTGACAGACAAAATCTATTAATGTAAAAACAGCCCAGATTGTGCGGTGTTATATAACTTTCGTTTGTTCACAAACCCGGCTCAGTGCACTGCTGACCTCTTTTCAATAGGGGCCAGATTAGCATGCAGCGGTGCTGTGTGGCTCATCGCTGCGGTGGTGGAGAGCTTTTGTCCCCGGTGGTCCTCCGCTCGCTCTAAATGCCCCAAACCGCAGTATACTGTTTCAAAACAAGTGTGGATTATCTCCACTTCTGAGAGTGAAAAAATAGTGGTAGTTCCTAGCAGCCTGGTCTTTTGTTACAAGGCCCTGTTCCCTTTGTCCGAGTTCGGAGACCCCGGCCACGCACTTAAAGCATACGTGTCTGGATCCGGAATCCCCGGCAGGGAGTGGTTACTGGACTTTCAGCATATTACTTTGTCTATGTTGGAACGAGGAACTCTTCAGATGACAATTTTTGAGCAAATACATTCAGCGTCATTAAGAAAATGCCAATCACCCAGCCAGCAACAGTCCCACCTTTTTTGGAATTCCAGAATATAACCAAAGGACAAGGGACCAGTCTATCTCCACTCATTAAGCTTCACATCAACTTATTAATTCTTGCACAGAAGCACAAAAAAGTCTGAACTGATTGAACTTTATATGTTTGCACACTGTTCTTTTTATATAGAAAGCCTCTCTGTACATATCAGAAGAATCAACCTATGAGTTTGGTGGATATTCAACCATCGATGTAGATAACGCAGACTTGACCAGGTACCCCAAGTTAAGAAATGTGGAGTACGCTCGGGTCATACTGAACAAAGGAGATTGCATCTATATGCCGAGTGGTAGGATGACTCTAATATCCATTAAATATTAAAAAAAAAACCATATTGCTGCTTGAATCAGTAACGTGAATACCCCCCGTTGTATACAAAGTTGAACTTTGAATGCTGTAATGTGAGATTTTGCCGCATAGTCCTTTTTAGGATTTCTTAAACTTAATTTATGACTTTAAAGTTTTGTATTGAGTAAAATTTTGATTTGATTGCTGCAAAGTGCCAAATTTGATACGAGCTTCCATGTATGATGTTTTCAAAGTCTATTCCATGTTACAGTTGATTTTTTAAAATAAAATTAAGTCTTGCTTCATCCGCTAAAATTTTTGCCAGCTATCTTGCTGAAATCCGCAATCTTTGATATCTTGTAGTAACCCAATGGAATATTCTTTGTACAAATTGGAAAATAAATCCCCACATAGAGTAATAGCACTTTATTTTTACAGCCTGAATTAATCAAAATTGAGTGGAGCACAATTTTGGATTTTATTGGATGAGGTTTAATCTACATAAAATATGATCTAATTTTGAAATTAGAAAAAATATATCTATATATATATATATAGGCCTCAGAGAAACCAGTTTCTCTGAGAGTAGCCATCACTTTTTTCCACTAAGATGGCCATCACATGTCTGCAAACCCCCCTACTAAACAACCTCCACTATTTGCCGTGTTCCTTTGGCAGGTTACATGCACCAGGTGCGCTCCAACGGTTACCTCAATGCAGCGGTCTCCATATGGTTCTCTCATTACTATGAGTTTGACAATAAGGGTTGCCTTGACAACCATGGCCCAGCCGACTTCCGGCCAATGAATGAGGTGGATGTGTTGTGGAGGTACAGTGGTCATGGCAACCTATCGCAGGGCATGATGGACATTCACGTGCTGAGGTAATTCAGAATTCCCCAGTTGTTCAGATATTTTAAAAAAAAAATAGTTTAGCCAATACGAGTCTTTTAAATTGCAGCAGGTGTTAGCGCAAGTTATGGGTAATGGAGAGGAGAATTTCATTACTTTAAGAATTAATTGGTTAGTGACCAAATGTCAAGTGATTTTTTATGTATGGTCAAAAAATCAGAAAAAGATCCTTTTAATATATGATATATTCATATCTCACTGGAAATAAAAGTATTTTCTCTATTTCACAGGAAATTTTTGTTTCAATGGAGTCGTAAGGAATGTAAGACAAGCCAAAAAATGTTGCAGATCATTTGACGTAAAGCATGATTTCTGCCCTGCTGTTTTGAGCAGGTAATTGAAAATGCAGTTCAATGTGTACAGTAACCCCAACATTGCTGAACTGCCAAATTTCATGCACATTAATAGTTTTTGTTGCGACTGATGTTTGCAGTGTATATTGTACTTGAATTTTGTCTGGGGAAAAATGCCCCCACGTACAAAAGTAAGACAGCATGCTTGTGGTGTAAGTACATGTGCAGTGTTATCTTTCATTGAATTCAGGCATAGAAACTAGTCTTCAACTTCATATCTGTGTGGATAGAGTGTCTTTTAGTTTCCCTGCGTGTTTGTCCGTTTTCTAGAACTGTCTTGCAGACTGTGGCAGACAAAGATGGCAAAATATGGATTGACAGTTTTGTGACCAATTTCATTTATGTGAGTTTTCTGTTTTTTTTCTGGGTGGGGTGATGTATTGTTTGTGCACATTGGCAGTAAAATTAACCCTAACAGTCCCAAATCCTCCAATTTCAATACGATTTTACATAAACCCTAGGGGGTTAGGGTTAAACTACACAGATTATAGACTGGACCTCACTCAAAGAATCAATGGGAACTGGCCACACTATATTAGGTCTCAAGATTTCATCAGTCTTCTTGTTCAGTGACCATGTGCTGATGTGGATTCTGATTATCTGAGCATACGTGTTTGCACTAATCTAGTCATGCATTATTTCCTTAACCCTAACCGTCCCCAACCACACAGAATTGAACACCAGTAAAGTGTGTGAATTTGTGGCACTGGGTACTGTACCCCTAAACTGCTTGTGCTTTAACATGGGTTCAGGCATACCCAAAATAAACAGAGTCCAACAGTTTTTGTGCACAGTTTACCATATGGAGTTGGAATTTGTGTGAATCGGTATGGTTCCTAGTAAATCACTCTGGGGAGTTAGGTTTAATAGAACCTGTTGACTTTAATAAGGTTTAAAAGGTTAAAATTTGCTTGAATACATACTGGCTGGTCACTGATATTTGTCCAAATTTAAAAGGAGTGTTTCCATTTCCAAGTGATTATAAGTCAATACCCTCCCAGTTCCTGAAAACCTATCAAGTTTTAAAAGATTTTATGGGACTGTGTGCACCAGTAGAAAGTCTGATATGGAAAGAATGGGCTACATGTACATGTATGTGGACTCCTACACTGAGGTGGAATTTCTAGGATTTAGCACAGTTCATAGTGCCAGTGCCAAAGGAGTTAAGATGGATAAAGACTTCGATGGATTTTCATGGTTTCAGTGGGATGAGATTATCAGTAACAGTGAGCTGAAACAACTATCAGCGTGACCTGCAGTGTCTGAACGGATGGAATTTCAAAATCTTTGTCCTTCTGGAAGTTATTTGTGGGGCTCGATGTCTTTGGTATAGAAAGTTTATTTACTTTTAAAAATACTGGGTTTTTCATGTTTTCAGGGCGAAAAGAATGACCCAGGGTATTACAAGATGAGACAAGATTCGGTAAGATTTTGGAGACTTCTGATTCAGTCATCAATTTTACAAACAGGAGATGCGTAAAAGATATGTATATGTAAATTGAAAATAAGGGACAGAAAGAAAGCTACAGATCATTGTATCTGTGTTTATGCCTAAAGTTCTACTTGAGCACATCGATTTGTTGGTTGCAGGACACTGCCGCCTGCAGAACAGGCTACCTAGCCAAAAGGTCCAGTAACAGGCTACCTAGCCAAAAGGTCCAGTAACAGGCTACCTAGCCAAAAGGCCCAGTAACAGGCTACCTAGCCAAAAGGTCCAGTAACAGGCTACCTAGCCAAAAGGTCCAGTAACAGGCTACCTAGCCAAAAGGTCCAGTAACAGGCTACCTAGCCAAAAGGTCCAGTGGAGTTTACCAGTTGAGATGTGCTCACAGTGAGCCAAGTCAATATTCCAGCAGGGTGTACAAGTATTCAAAATGAAAAGTGTCAGGTGTGTGCTTAAGGTTGACCCTGTCGGTAAAGTTGTACACCAACTCCCACAAACTGAACATGTTTGAGCTGGTGTGACATCAGGTGCTTTGTTCTAGGGTGACTTTTTCATGCTTATATACCAAACTGGCCCATTAATATCTATTTAACTTGTACGTAGAGTAAGTTAAGAAATGTTTTTGTCAAATAAAACCATGCTGTTGAGTCGTGGGCCCAATTTGAGGGCACCTCAGCAGAAAAAAAACCATTGTTTGCCAAATTAATAAGCTATTAAAAAAATTGGTTGATGAGGACCAGTTCTAACTAATGTAGTGGGGCTTTTTGCTTAGAAATAAATTATTCTCAGCTTAGCAGATTTATATGCACACCAGATCCAAGGAATCAGTACCTGGTGATTACTGTTAGCGTACGTTTTCTCATCCAGTGTGCTCCGGAAAAGTGTGTTTTCATTATAGAACTGAGTTATGCACAACAAACAAATGAATGATTTCCCCAGGACCATGGTGACCACTTGGTCATGGTCTTCCACTGCAAATGTAAGCTATGACAAGTTACAAAATGAGCATAATGTTACAAAGGAATGAATCAGTTTGATATACCAACTACACATGCCCAAAATGAAGTGTGTCCTTGAGGTCGTTACGGAGCAACAGTGCATGCATGTGCATGCGAGGATTGTCCAAGCACATTTGCCATGTTCGCAAGTGACAATTTCTTTTTTGAAATACCGAAAGAGGTCTGCTATTCATAGCCAAGCCGAAAAAGCTGCTGGGGCAAGTTTTTTACTCGAAAATTCTTCAACCTTACAATTGTGCTTTGATTCAACCAAGCACGATGCATTAATATGGTAACCGTGGAAATGAAAAAAAAAATTTTTAAACCAGTGCACAAGCCCTCCGTTGAACAAACAAGGAAAATTATGTGCGTTTATATGTCCTCCGGTGTCAAGTGGTTAACTTTGCAGGGTTACAAGATTTCTTAAACCATTTGCCCCAAGGAATCCTACTTTATTTTCCAAGGAATCCTTCTTTCATTGGTTCCAGTTCCGTTCAGCAATAGATCCTTCCAACAGGGGCTACATCACAGTGGAGGAGCTGAACAGCTTCTCCATCTCACAGCTCAAGGACCTGGTGTTGTCACTGAAAGTTCTGGACCCATCTGATACGGACCGGTTTGAGTACGCTCACATCCAGGCCTATGACGTCAGGTAAGTGACAAGAGCAACAAAGGGGTGCATGCTCAAATACTCCCTCGTTAGGGGACAACAGAAAGGCTGGACCAACTGCCTGGTTCAAACCTCTTTTATTATTTAGAACTTGAATGACAATGGAGGGACCTAGAGCTGGTCTTGTAATAGGCCTTTGCCAAATATGTAAATATTTGATCGATTATCAAGTGTCGATACAATGATAAAAGAAGAAAAGTACTTCGTTTTTTTCTAATCAAATCGCCTCCTTTATGCCTAATCTGATAAAGAAACAGCTCTGCATCCATTTACCCTAAGTTATCGTAATGATTAAAATTTCTAAGTTTCTGCATCTATAAAAAATGCTTCTAGATGCTTGGCTGACCAAAAATTTGCTGTACGACCGAATATTATTGGAATAATCATTTATTTTATCTGGCTCAGCTCTAGTGTTATTGAGACCGTCACAAGACCAGTCAAAAGCCTACTTAGAAGACCAGTCTCAAGTAATAGGATGAACAGTAAAAAAGGAATACTTTTGTTGCAGTTGTTTTCAATAGTTTCTTTCTTGTTTCCCATTTTTCATCTGTTGGTTGAATTTCAGGATTTTGTACGAGGACCTGTTAAGTGAGAGCCCAGATGAAACCTTCAAAAGAAGTGAGTTTGTTGAGGCCTACGTTGAAGATCTTGGAGGCACCAGCGTAGTTGCAAATGAGGCAAGCTGTTCCAACAGATTCATTATAAAGAAATAACCTGCTTTACTTCACAGATTCAAATTTCATCGCTTTAAAGTTTCATTTCAAGACAAATTGTAGTTTTTATTTTACTCTACCATTTTCATTATTTCAGTTTGGCATTCTTTCTGTTGCTTTGTCAACATTTGTTGAATTCCCTGTTTAAATATTAGAATGTCTGTGCGCAAAGTAAAATAATTGCTGCCTTTTTGATGACGCAATCTCTCTCTTGATGGTTAGAGGACGTGGTCAAGGTAAAACACACAACTGCCAACAAATATGACTCAGAAGAGGGGGCCAGGGAGGTGTAGAATATTTCACGTTCATTCCATAGCAGCAAGTAGACATTACAAACTATGATTAAAGATGAATCCGCATCATAGCAAGGCCCTTGGGACTTGCACAGTAAACCAAAACATGTTTAATTGAGATCTAGAATAACCAGACATCCAGACAATAATACAGACATTTACTGATATCAATATTTTAAAGAAATTAACAAATTTACACATTACCAGACTGAGCACAGTTCTGTTATGGATTAATTTGACAAGTGGAGAAAATATACGATTTTGATGATTGTATGCAATAACTGTGATCCTCGTCATTTTGGCATTTCAGATTTTAGATCACTTTGGGAAAGATGCTGACACAATCACTGCTGAAATGGTGGACAAAATGGCCGATGCCTCCCTCTCCCAATTTCAGGAGGTCCCGGAATTCGACCCATTTTTGGAACACCTGTGGTACAAGCACTTGGTCAAGGAAGGCATCATCCAGAAATTCAAGGTTGTGCATGACGAACTGTGAGTCAACGTTCTCTGTTTGTGAAGAAGGCCTAATAATGGTGTGTCCAGTAAGAACTGTGTTAGACATTCCTACAAATTAAACTTTCCAAACCCTGTCTCATCCATACATCCATCCACCTGTCCAAAGAACAGGGGGAGGGGTGGGGCTTAAAGATGATTGTTGTTTCCTGTGAAGAAGATTTGTGTCTGAGCATGACTTTCCTAGTAGGTGTGTCAGCTTGTACCCCATATGACCACCTATCTAGCAGTGTAGTTGACATGCCAATTTTTTTTTTTCATTTTAATTTTCTTCACATTTATGTGGATGTAATCCACTTTGTGAAACCAACTGACGGCAGAATTGAAGTTGAATTTTTTCATGAGTCAATTACAAGTTCATTATGCCAACTCTCGAGTTTTGTGCCATGAAATGGGATGATTAGAAATCAGAGGAATGCCTTCATCACAATGAATTGCATAGCTTGTGACTCAAAGTGAGGCTGTATGACCTGTGATGGACCTGTGTTGGACCTGTGATGGACCTGTGATGGACCTGTGATGGACCTGTGATGGACCTGTGATGGACCTGTGTTGGACCTGTGATGGACCTGTGATGGACCTGTGATGGACCTGTGATGGACCTGTGATGGACCTGTGATGTACCTGTGATGGACCTGTGATGGACCTTTGATGAACCTGTGACGGACCTGTGATGGATCTGTTAGGGTTTGACTACAAATGCATTGCTGTTTGATAGCTTGGTGTTCATTTTAGATGGAGTCATAGTGTGCAGTAAACTCTGACTAAGTCGGCATCGTGTAACTCGTCATATCATGTAAGTTGGCCATTTGACAAAAGTCCTGATTATCTGTAATGCATTTCCATTGAAAATGTCATTTCTAATTTGGCATTTATAAGTCGTCATTTCGTATAAGTGGGCATGTTTTTCTCGGTCCCTTTTCCACAAAACCAAAAAATTCCTTTGTGTAAGTCGGCATTAAAAAAAATTGTGCTTCAGTATCAGTTTCCTTCGCCGTGGTTGCCAAGAAGTGTCAAGTGACAAGTCCCACACTGCTTGACTGATGTCTGTTTCTTAGCAGCACAGGCCGTGGTTGATAATCAGCCAGCATGAGTACATCAGTACCAGTAACCCCCTCAAGTGCTACACGCACGCGTTCTGTCCATTTTTGGGGTCGCCTTATTGATTTACCCTGCTCAAAGATTCCCTGACAACCCTTGATTATGATTCGTCGGGTAGTCAGAATCATCTGGTCTGGTATCCAGACTATATTGAACGAACTTAACCAATGTGTGTGTGTGGATGAGTGCATGTTTTCTGTACTGTAACTGTATCACATTTACATACGTACTGCACTGTCAAGTTGTGATGTGATAATTATATGCAAGTAGCTTTCCGTCCTTGCTTCGTCCTTAGGGGCACTTGATCAATTATCGAATTTGCAGCCCGCGAGGGTAATAATCGAGAATGAATTTGCTGGGATCGACCTTGGCGGTAGAAATAAAGCAGGGTAAATCAAAGCCATTGAATTAGTGCAAGGAATCATAATGTACACAGGCAATACATGTGTACGTGTAAGTCGGCACAATGACGACTTACAGCACAAGTGGGCATTCGCTTAAGTCGTCATAATCTCTTGAGTCCTGAGAGTGCCGACTGAGCCAGAGTTTACTGTAACTTTTTTGTGGGTCATAACAATTTAAAAGAGTTTGAGAAATAATTTTTACTCAGAAACTTACCATGAAAATAGCTCTACCCATGAGTTGTATGAGAAGCGCTTCTTTTTTGATTAAATAATTTTGCAGATACAACTTTTAAAAGTTTTTCAGTTCATGGTGAACCACACCCATGCTGATTTCTAACACCTGAAGCTACTGTTGCTGTGGTGTAATTCCAGGCACAAACTTTTATACCAATTGGGAACTTTCCGTACAAGTAAGGAGCCTCATATCCAGGTCACTGTACCAGTTGTGATATTAGCTGCTCATCAACTGGCTGCCACAGTTGACCTCAAGGAAAAAGCCCTAACATAACTACTAATTGTAGTGAAACCCACATTTTCTAACATGGCTTTGGTACTGATGTTTTCTCTTCAGAGGAAGAACTGGATTTTTGATTAGATTGGAAACTTGAATGTGAAACTGGAAAATTCTTGCTAGCATAAACATTATTTTTTTAAATAGAAAGGTGACATGGAAGCTGTGCATTTTCAGAGTTTATTTTCATTTCATAGGCAACCCTGAAAATGTGACTTCCCCACATTTTTTCAAACATAAGAGTTTACTTACATGCATAGTTATAGAGCTTTTATAAATGTACTTTAGGTTTTAAATTTAGGAGACTGTATAGTTTTGTAGTGAACTAAATATTTTATAAAGTGTTTCATTTAAGTTGATAAAAGCTCACACATGTTTATTTTTTATAAGCAGTACATAGTTTTGATGATGCATATAGATATATTTTTGTTTACATCTTTTGTACAAATGGTGATCAAAAAAATGTGTATGAAGTGAATAAAAATGGGATGTTTGAATGAAAATCTCTACTCGGTTGTATCTGTGTAGGCTAGAGGTTTACTTGAACTTTTAGAACACATAATTTGATTTTTCTAATAAAAAAAAAATCACCTTTTTGATTTAAGTTAGGCTTTAGAAGAAATCTGAGACTAAATTTTCCTGCTGCATGTTTTTTTTTTATTCCTCATAGTACCTTTTCATCGCCTAACCCAATAAGATTGTACATGTACATGGTTTAGGCTATACCTACATGTACATGAGAGGTAGGGCTAGTGACAATGCATCATTGTTTGATGTTAGAATTATTATAACATTACCTGACTAGGAATTAAAACCGAGAAGATCCTGAACCGAAGTCAATCCCCTTATCATCAGGGGAGCTTACACAGATTTCCCCCTTCCAAACCAGAGGATGGTACAGATCAGTACATGGTTGATTGTACACTTTGCTTATCAAACTGTTTGTATAGTTATTACTGGTATCAAAAGTTGACGCCCCAGTAAGACAAGCTGGTCAGCCTTGTGTTTGATGGGCTGGGTTGATGAGGGAGTAGTTTTGGAATGGTTCCAGAAAAAAAAGGCTCATTGTTGGAAATTTGAAACTATAAAAACTGAGACAGAATTAATTTCTGCCTGCACTTTTTATGTAACGTTATTGTTTTTCTGGTAATATGTCTGATTGTTTAAACATGTTTCCAATTTGATGGAGTGAATTATATTATACAATTTTAGAAGCTGTTCTCTTAGTTTTTAGTTAATTGATTAACCAGACAATTACAATTAGAAAAATGACTCTGATTTTTCCTTAGCTTATGTACAGGTTATGTAATTTCTTGAACGCATTTCTCACAAATTGTCCTATGTGTTGGCCTTAAATTTAAGAAGGCGTGGGATTGGTACACAAATAAAGAGGGATGCCATCTGAACATACGCATACTCTTGCTGCATTACCTGGTAATAGGCAGCCTTGGTCAGATGTTAAGCTAATCTTGAATCCTTGCCAAGTGTGGAATTTCAACCCTTTCCATTCTTAAGGAGGTGTTGTAAATCATTGTTTTTTTCTGTCCAAAATGAGTGACCCTAACATCGGATATGATAAGGAAGCTTGAAACATTTACTGCAGGCTTGCCCTGATGCAGCAGAAAAGGTAAGACAGAGTTAATTTTTGTTTTCCGGCTCGTCAGAATAACCAAATTTAAGAGGTACCTCATTTTTATGGTCCAATAAGAGGCATAATTGCAAAAGGTGGGAGGTTATTTAAGATTATTATGCAGGTTGTGTAGCCTAGTAATTAAGGTTGTTATTTTCAATTTCTGTTTTTTTTGTGGAGCTATCTGAGATGTGATAAAAGAATCATTGCACGTCAAGATATTGTCATGCAATCATCTGGAAAGTAAAGTAGTGGGCAACCTTCCCCCATTCACTTGAGCTTTTGGGATATGAGCACAGTTTTTGTGTTAATGCACACCACTGCCACTTATTGTAAGTAAATGGGGAGCTGTTGTGTTTCCTTGTTTGATGTACAGTCAAATCTTGTTACTAAGGGCACTGTTAATACAAGACTCTGCTTATAACAAGGATATTTTCAGATCCCAATCTTTGGTTTTCATTGTTTTCATTCCTGGCAATGCAAAGTTCCTATTATAAAAAGGTAATTTGCCAAGTCCGAAAGACCTCTTATTAATGAGGTTCAACCGTGTAACTCTTGCAGATTAAGAAACTTCTTGATCATTTTTTTAAAAAAGCCTATTCCTCAAGTAAAACAAATATGTTGACTTTTTTTCCCTTAGAATGAATTACCAACTCCGGTATCAATTTTTCAAACAACTATTCAATTTCCTTTTATTGTTGGATCATGCTGAGTCCGCTAGGTTAAGACTACTGTCCGTGTACTTACGTGTTTGTGCTGCCCCAAATGTTGAGCACTGTTATCGTGTCATAAACTCCTATCAGATAACAAGTTTTGCGTTACAGTTTTTGTCTCCAGGGATTAAGTTTGTGATTAACTGCAAATACCACAACCAGGAAGTTCTCAAATGACATGTGATTACTGTCCACCAATCATTGGCTTGCTCACACACAAACCATGATTGATTCTCCCGTTCTTTTTATTTGCTTTGTGTGATGTAAGCTGAAGTTTTGGACCTGCTCTATTTTTAAGGGTCTTGATTTGACTTTGTGATTCTGGTGTAGTGTGCGATTGTCGGCACTTGCGGAGTTGGAGTGATTGGTACCATCAGGTTAGCTGTTGTCATGGGACAGCTGCTGCTTCCCTGCTTTTGTTTTTTGCTTGTACTCTGTATTGGAACACCATCTATCACAGGTAACTATCAACCAATTTCACTTCTAAAACTTTTTTGCTATTACACGAATGTTGCACCTTTGACGGTGGCAGAGTGGAACTAACATTACAAAGTTGCACTTTCCAAGTTGTGTGATTATGAAAGATTACTAGAAAATGGTTTTCTCATGAATATAATGTATAGCGTCAGTGTATTGTAAGCCACAGGTTTAAAGTGATGGAGAAAGTAATTCTGACACGTCTGAAGATTAAACAGTGTTGCAACACATTTGTAATTGATATCTATTGAAGCTGGAAAAGAAACCGTCTTGAAAGCTGGACACTTTTGTCAGTAACAGTAATTTTAACGATATGCTTGTAGTATATTAAATTATTTCATGTAGCCTTCCATTTAAATTGTTCTGGTATTCTTTTTAAACCTACGCCAATAATTTCAGGATGATTTAATAAAAGCTAAGTTTTCACCCTATGGTAAAAACCGAGAAGTGTCAATGGAATAAATATGTGCTTGGCTGGTCTTAAATGTGCACTTGAGACTGGGCCAGGAGAAAGCATGAGAATAATGCCTGAGCTGCAGGCCAGGGCATTATCAGCTTTCAGTCTCCTGAGCCGGCCTTAACGTTTAAGACCGGCTAAGCACATATTTATTCCCATTAATAAATACCCAAAGAGTCAAAAGAAGTTGATATATGATGAATTTCCACCGATTTTGCTCTAGAATTTACTGAATTTTCCCGAACATCCCCGTCCATTTTATTTTATATTCCTTGTGCAAATTGTCCAAAAGAATCTCCTTGTCTGCACTTGGTATGCACGTGGAAAGCCACGTGCACACAGACTCTTGACCAATCAGAATCAATTGAACTGTCTCGTATCCAGGAGCCAGCGTGTGATGTACGCAGTGGATGCTACCACTTCTCAGGGGGCATTATCAAATGTTAATACACGGTCATGTTGCACGTTGTTGAATAGGAGATTGTCTGAAGTATTAATGATTATAATTTACCTGATATTTCCGATGGTAACCTGTTTTTCTCTAAGCAAACATTTTCTGTGCTTAACTGCTCTGTGAAACTGACATCGGTTGGGTGACACTCGTGCTCTCATTGGGTTGAGTCAAAGTTCCAATCAGTCTGGTCAGTTTCTTTAAGTTTTGGATAGGGGAACACAGACCTTAAGAGATGGGTGTGTTCATTCAGTAATGGTTTCTTCAATTGAGTGGTTCATGAATCTGTTTATTATTAAAATGGTGTTTTCCTTCATCGTTACAGCTGAAAATGCATCTTTAGACAAATTTGTATTTTCAATAGTTGCCTTACCATCATTCTTCAATGGACAGTTACCCTTAATAGCTTTGTATAGTTATCTGTTTGTTCAAAACAAATGAAAACCCCCCTCTGTCCAAGAAATGTAACAAATGAAAACACAATACATTTATCCAGAACCCATAAAAGAGAAAGAGATCAAGTAGAATTTATTTTCATATGATCTCAAGGATTTCGCCCTTGGTTTGCAATGGTCATGAAAACCTATTCTTTTAAATGAAACGAGTTGTATCCAAAGAGAAATCATCTGAAAATTACATAGACCGAAATTTTTTTACAACCAGATATAGAATCCAGTACTGTGTGGCACGACTCTTGCCGGAAGGTGTTACCCATACATTACATGCCTCTCTGACCATGTGTGTGTGTGCGTTAAACTTAAGAACGAGTGTCTGTGTGCCACTGCAGATATGGTGTCTCCTTGGATTATTGTATTGCAATAATTTCACAACTCTCTGATCTTTGACCTGGTCTTATCTTTAATCCTCAAGGGGTCCCAATCTCTGATAATGTCCCGACATCATCTGGTTATTTTTGGTTGTTTATTTCACAACTCGTCATAGTTACTGAATCAAATTAATCCATGACAGCATTTGTTAATCGATATTTAATTTATGATAACGTTTAATCCTTACAAAATTGGTGGCATTTTTACCAACGTTCTAAAGGATGGAAATCAAATCACCAATTCCATTTACTAGGCATAGGCATGCATGTTCTTTCAAAAGTAATTTTCCACTTTCAGGAAATATTTGTATTGTAATTTTAAAGCGTTTTTCTCATAGTACAATATTTAATTGGTGTTGCACACAACTGGAGTAGCAAAGGGTAAATCAGGAGCTTAGTCTTTGCTGGAAAAAAAAAAACATTAAAAATGAGAAAAGAACACCATTTAGTCGCTTATAAATTTAGAATTTAATTTGAAATTAGGTGTATTTATGCAATATATGTGTTCACAGTGTATTAGTTTCAGAAGAGGTATTAGGCAAGTTTTAAAGTAAACTCTAAAAAAGGTGCAATGAGTTACTTTCAAATTTTAGTCTGACTTACCAAGTCAGCTTGTCCAACTTTTTTTAATATATATAGTTCCGTTCAGTACTGTATTCACTATGAGCAATCCCAGATACAATGTACTCCCTATGTGGTGTTGGCATACACTTATCCTTTCCTGTCTTCATTTGTACTTTTCTTCAGCATGTTTTGCACCTTTGGATCTGTCTGGTCCATTGGGCAATGTGTCCACCCCAGACTATCCAGATCCTTACCCTCAAGAGTATGACTGTCAACTGATTAACATCACCGTCAGCCAGGGTCAGATCATCTCTCTGAAGTTTGATGGCTTCGATCTCGGGGATGATGATGTTCTTATGATTACTGAGCCTAGCAAGCCTGATCCTTTGGTGAGTTTTCCTGAGTCAATTTCTTTTATGTTACACCTGTTTACTCAGCCCAACCCAATCTGATATAATGCAGTCAGCCCATTCTAACTCGACCTGGCTGAATTCAACTCGACCCAGCATCGCTGATACGAACCAATTCAACCCAAGTGAACCCTAGCTGATCACACTTCCCCCTCCTACCTATGGCAACCTGACATGAACCTCTGACCCCAACCACCTTGACCCCACCACAACCCAACCCAACCTTTCCCAATCCAACTGGCCCAACCAACTTGCCTGCCCCCATCTAACTTACCATATCCAACCCAATCCCTGCCCAGTGCCATCTAGAGCAAATATTAACTAAACAGAACTGTTTTGTTATTAACAAATATTAACTTTCATCATTCAGATTTTACGAGGAGGGAGGCTACCCAAAAACTACTATAGCCATGAAAACACGCTGCAGCTCAATTTCACATCGGAGAGCTACAATGTAGACAACAGGACAGGCTTTCTTGTTTACTACACAGAATCAGACAGAGGTAAGCCAGAGTTGTATTCACCGTGATCTTCAGTTGGAAGCCGATGGTTAACGTATTACCTCCAGGCAGGGCTGCTGGGTTTTAACTAGGGCTCCAGTTAAGGGACTCAACGTATGCACGTTTTGGTTCATATGAATTAGGCCTATCATAAGTACGCACAACAACATCTGAGCATTGGCAAGCAGCAATTCTTTGTACGGATCTGAGAACAAAAGATGCCCGCACAATGCGGGTGGTGAAGACATTCCAAGGACTCGCTCAGGTCTGCACAATGTTTTCCCCTCTCTGTAGAAGCATTTTGCAGTGGGAGTAAGGTTACCTGTTGCAAAAGGAAGAGGACCTGTCCAAAAACCACACACAAAAATCAACAGTATTCACAGTTTACGAAGACTTGGTATTTCATTTGACTTTTTATGATACATGAGAGCAAAGGCATTTCCCCACTGGCATGGGCTTTTCCATTTTTTGAGGGGGGCATTATTTATAGGAAACCTACAAACTGTTAGCGATGGAAGGAAGTTCACTTTTGAGGTGTTTTCGAGCAAATTGGTGATTCTCGTTTTTTTTAATTCCCTGTTTTTTTATTTTAAAATGTTTGTCAGTAGGCCAGACCCCCATGCCTCCTCACAACACCCATGCATACTAGCCTTGAAATCTTAACAGGTGTGTCGTCATGGGTGAGCCTTGGGCATGGCAGTAGTTTTGCTCAAGTGCCTCTCGTATAATATTTTGTCATTGCTGTATTAAACTTCCACATAAGCAGATGCTTTGAAATTATAGTTGTCAGTGTTATTTTTGGTCCAGTTCTCCCGACTCCAAAGACACGTGTGGTGCCCTACACTCTCTCACCTGGCAGACCAACTGTGATTCGCTCTCTGGATTACCCACAATCCTACGGTGACTTCGCCTTCTACTTCTACACCTTCACCTCAGCCCCCAACACCAGGATCTGGGCCGAAATTATGGATCTGGATACGGAGGAAGGTTTCGACTTCCTGGAGATGGGCAACGGGGTGGATCCTGAGCAGCGGTTTGCCACCAGAATGAGAAGGGTCTCCGGGAGAGGGAGCCGGTTTCAATCCATGCTGTCAGAGAACAATGAGATGTGGATGTTATTTGAAAGTGACTACTCTGTTGTCGGGCGTGGGTTCTCTGTCATGCTGTATGAGACATCACTTGGTAAGCTCATAGTGGGCACTGCTATAGTTGTACTGTTTATTTTCATATCATTCAGAGGATTCAAAGTAAAGGAAATAAATATGAGGGTGGCAGCTAAAAACTGAATGCTTATACAAGATCTGGAACTAATTTATTCATGGGTTAATATGTATACATTACAAGTTGAATTCTTTCATGAAACAAAGTGTATAAGCTATTGCAACTGAACAGAAAATTTGAAACAAAAGGTTCATAGAAATGTCCATGTTTTGCATTAAACAGTTTCAACAATTTCATACTGGCCTTTTCAGAGGAGAATCAGCTTGAAAGAAAGTGGAATTATTTACTTAGGATTTTTGTATTGACTCTGTTTAGCAATGTTTTGATTGTATGATGGGATTTTGCTTTGGGATCCAACAGAGCAGCTTACTAACGCCAGAAGCTCACAATTTGCATCTGAAATTTTGTATTGTAATTTTAAAAATTCATATGCAGAAATTATTTACTTGTGCAGCATTTGTTTTGAAGTTGCAAGAATATTTGTAAAGCTTATACATGTAATTCTAAATGTGTTATTGGTCAAGTTTTAATTCTGATTGATAAGTAGAAAATACAGAGAAATTTAAAACATTCAAAAATAGTTAAATGACCAAATTCATGGATAAGAGACTAATAATTTTGAGGCTTTTCTTTTTTTACAGACTTCCCTGATGTTAAAAACTTGACAGCAGTGCCTGATAACGTCACGTGCGGGGATAGTGTTAACATTCCTGAATCTGGTGAGTTGAATTTCACGAGTACCTGTCAACACTGCAGTGACCAATGCCATCTCTTTGACTTTGTAGCATGGATTCATTTAAAATACACAGTGGTGATGCGTGCCCATTCACAGCTAATATACATGTGGATGCTCAGTCATTTGGAGAGGAAGGTTAGTTAAATTTGTGGCGTTCCATACCTTTGGCACCCTGTTCCTAAAACGGAAATAAAGTCCATTTTTACAACATGGCTGACATTTTGACTTAGAGCATTTGTTCTTTAATTCTAACAGTTGTTAATCCTAACAGCAGAATTGCAGGGTTAATATGGTTGTGGTGTGATTTTAAATTGAACTTTGGAGGATTGAAGCTTTTTACCTGTTCATCATTACCTGTATTGGCAGGATCCATTTCTGTACAACTGACCAACTATGCCAACAACTCACTGTGCACCTGGAGAGTATCTGGAGTTGCTGGCCTGAGAATTAGAATGAGTCCAAATCTCTTCAGTCTTGAAAATGGGTATGTTGGAGAATTTTACATTTCTGAAAACAGCATCATGCCGCCATGTTAGAGGTACCTGAAGTATTCTGGGAAGTATAAGAAACAATGTTGCTTCCTCATACGTCCATTTAGTTTTTGTGTTACAGACGTAAATATGCAAGTTGCCATACTGTTGTCGTGCATTTCCTTGTTTATTTTGAGAAGACATGGATGCATTCATTAGAAGGTGCCCATTGGTACTTAGTGGCCTCCAAGTGCTTCTTTTCTGCTTAACTTTTCGACAATTTTTTCACAGTTTTGATGTTCTGGAAGTTGGTAATGGATTAGACCCCATGGACCAATCCTCCCGCTTCGTCAGTCTGACTGGGAACGGTCCCAGTGGCCCCGTCATGCTTGAGTCTGATGCCGTCTGGCTGCGATTCCGCAGTGATGCCTCTGTCTCTGATCAAGGATTTCAGATAAATTTTGATCAACCCATTACAACTGGTGGGTGTTGTTTTTTATGAGCCTCTCTTTTACTGAACTGATAATTTCTTGGAGAATTTTTGATCGTCTTGCTAGTTATACTGCAGAGGAATTCTTGCCTAGTTTCCATCTCAAAGTCCTGAATAAAAAAGTGCTCCTGGTTGAGCTTCCGTGTTGAATATAGTAGCCACTGTGTCCTTCAGCGGTGTGTGTTGAGAGGGTTGGGAGCCAGAAATCTCTTTGTACCTTGGCCCCTTTTTGTAAAAAAACACACGTATGTACCTAGCTGCACCAAAATTGTTTTTTTTATGTCTTGTAGAATGTGGAGGCGAATTCTACATTAATGAAACCCACCCTAGTTTCATTGTGGCAGTAGATGGAATGGTCTTACCCATGATGCAGTGCAGGTGGATCATTCGTGGCAGGCCAGGCCATTTCATCAGTGGAAATGTGACCAGATTCAAAATGGGTAAATCACACTGGTGGCTTGTCAAAAAAATTAGAATTACCTGTAACGCAAAGAACATTGAGCAATTTTCTAAAAAATGGATTTCTTTATAACTGTTTCGAATTTAGAACAATACTTAGCCCATGATATTCTTTTCCTTCTTTTCACCATCAAAACGTTTCAGTGAATTATTTTGAAAAAAATGTGCATAATTGGCTTATCTGTAATTGACATTGATGTCACTTTCAACAGCAACTGGAAAAGTAAAGCAACCCACAGTAAACACTATGGATTTTCCATAGTTCATTGTTTTAAAGAATTTTGTGAACGTAAGAATCAATAACTTGGATCCACAGGATCTCTACCACAAATTTGAACGTGTCTAATGAACAAGTAGCAAAATTTGGGAGTTTTGCTCTTTGTAAGCGATGGCAAGAATTGAGTTTCTCTTTGGTTACACCCCTTGTAGAACCGAGTCTCTGGCATTGCTGATTTTTCAAAGTGCAAAATATTTAAGTTGGAAACTTTTGGTCTGACTCTGTATTTCGCAATGGATTTCTCTCTTTTCAATAAACTGAACTGCGCCTGTCCTTGTGAATGATCAAATCGCAGAAGATATCTACGACATGGTGGAGATTGGCACGGGGGACAATCCTGCTGATCCAAAGACGAGGGTCAAAATGATGTCAGGAAACGTGGATGGTGGAAAGTTCTACACGATTGCGGACACTGTGTGGGTTGTTTTCACCCTGAACGGGACCCAAGCTGGGGAAGGATTCAGCATTACATTCGCTGATGGTAAGGACAATAGAGGGACTGGTATGACCAGAGAAAAACTACAGGTTGGACCCACGACACTGTTGGACTGCTTGTGTTTGTTGGACACATGAGTGTTTTCAGTGATTTTTTTCTGTTATGTTCTAGTTGAAAATTAAATATCTATTCTATCTAGATGTATCTTTATATTATCTGTATCTATGTTGTACATCAGTGATTGAGACTGTCTCGAGACCTTTTTTTGCAGTCTCGGTCTCGGTCTTGCCCTGTCAAAGTCTCGGTCTTAGGAGGGCTGGTCTTGGTCTCAAAAGCGCTGGTCTCGGTCTTGGTCTCAGATGCCATAGTCTCGGGTCTCCCCCTCGAGACCAGTCGAGACCATAACAAAATGCGCATCTAGCTACCACGCATGCACGCGGTTGCAAAAGGCAAAATTACCTTTGCTTTTTTGGATATTTATTTTTCAGTATTTTGCCTACAAAAAAACAGTCCAAGGATTTTTGTCTTAATGTTCACATCATATCATTTGGGACACTTGGGTTGAAAATGACCAGACCAGGGTAAAAGTAGAGCAGTATCACTGATAAAAGAACTGAGACATTCTTTAACAAATATTTGAGCTTTTTGTGTGTGTGAGTTTATGCTAATGTTTTCATTTTATTTTCTTTTGTACTTAATTGTACTGCCATGTGTTTGTCCCTATTTACCGTTTGGTAAAACCTAAACATTGGTTTATGGTTGGTCTCGGTCTCAGATGTCTCAGTCTCGACCTGCAAAAGTCTCGGTCTCAAAGTCCTGGTCTTGGTCTTGAAAGAGTAGGTCTTGGTCTCGGTCTCGGTCTTGGTCTCGGACATCGAGGTCTCGGATACAACACTGTTGTACAAATCTCTGGTTCCTTTTGAATGTCCTTAAATTTAACAACACTGAAATTAACCTGACAGAGAGGTGTGGCAATCCATTACAAAATGCACTGATGTGGTAGAAAATCCATGTTTGTTCTTGGGCATGTACACATCAGGGATGTCAAAGTTAAACATCTGAATTATGTCACTCCCTCTTAATCACTTCTACACTATCATTATTGCAGATGCCTGTGGTATCTCAACCCTGCTTGACAGGCAGGGAACCATTCAATCTCCTGGTTACCCACTTGGCTACCCTAACAACGCAGACTGCCAGTGGATCATCCAAGTTCGGGGAGGCTACAGAATCAATTTGACCGTTAACGATCTGAGGACCGAGTACGGCTTTGACAAACTGCTGATTGGTGGTGTAGAGCCCCAAGACTCTGGCTGGTCACCTTGTTATGTAAGCATTAATGATCTGTATCAGAATTACTAATTAAATATCTTTTTTTGTTACAGACTGAAGGCAGTATTAGTTAGGTTAGTAATATGAGAGCAGTAGATCCTCGGTGTTTTACCTGTCCTCATTTGGAAATTCTTTTGAAATGAAATCAGGATTCTTGTCATAAATTTGAAATACAACCTGAAATATGTCTTAAGAGAAATCCGGAGTCTTTATGATTGTACACTTTTCTTTCCTGGCCATGACCGCACTGCAGCAAAGATTTCTGTTATTCATTTTTTATTTGCCCCAATTGCAAGTTGTGGACTCTTCAACAGTGTCCCCACTTTTTTTTGGGGGGGGGATGGTTTCTGCCTTGATCAGAAGCACCCCTTCATTGATTGACGAGAGCCATATTGGTGTGGAGTATTCATTTTGTTGGTAGCGATGCCACTGTAACGCGTGCATTTTATAGATGTTTGTGAACCCGCAAAGTGCAATTCCCAGCAAGGAGGCCCGAGTTGCTAGGAAAGCTACGCCCTCTCTTGGTCAAGCTTGGGGCTCATAGTTATTGTATAACTCAAGCATGTAACCTCACAACTCATTAAGTCAAAGTATTTGTGTACATAGAGGCAGTCAGGAAAATTTGCACAAGTTTTTTTTATCGCTTTGCATTGCACTACTTCCAAAATCAACTAGGCCTTAAATAATTTTGTTTCATCTGTAGGAACTGACTGGGGACATGATGAAAGGCGTCAGTGTTCTGAGTGACTACAATGGCTTGTCACTGCGATTTGTTAGTGATGGATCAAAGCAGGATATGGGATTCTCGGTCAGCTATGAAGAAACGTGTAAGTTACTGCAGATATGGTCAAGAGGGGGTGGGCTGTAGATGTGAAGACCGAACAATTTATACAATAAAAGGAAATTTATTTATGTATGGTAAAGTTGGTTGAATCCAGTGTCTAAATGCTTTTTGCTGAATGAAAACAACTTTGGTTTTGTATAAATCTGTGTCCCTGGAATCTCTATATTGCACCACTGAGCATCACAAATCTATATTTTCAGGTGGAACCAGGACCCCTTGCTGCAATGAATTTGCATTGCACGCTCCCATTTGTTGACCCGCAAATTTATATTACATTCAAAAACTTCCTCCATTTTTTAAATCATATTATCCCTGCACAACTACTGCAGTGAAAAGTTTGAGCGAGACTTCAACGTAATCAGATTTAGCATGCCTTGCTATACTTGTATTATTGGATGTACTGTGGGAAATTGTGTATGTAGTTAAAAGAAAGTGCATAGTAATGGCTACCTTTGTGTCCATCCCATAAAGTATTTCAGAAATGCATTAGCCTGTTGATCAGGGGTAACAACATTTTGTAAAGTGAATGGGGCCAGCAGCAAACAACTACAAGTTTGGAAATTAAATTCCATTTCTAAACGTTTAGAGCTGCTTGCTAATCTGTGCTGATACATATAGCCTTTTTGTTGGTGTGTTTAAAGTGCTGTGCACATGAGATGCTAAGTGCTCTTGGAATGACTCTGTCTGCAGTTTTTTGCCCAGAGGGCTATGAACTAGGAAACAACGACAGCGCCTGCTACAAGTTTGTCTTGGCCCCAGCCTCTTGGGAGGAAGCTAGGGATGAGTGCCTTGGCGTTGATGATGGTGACCTGCTCGTTATCAATGATGAAGCAGAGTTTGAATACATCAAGGAGATGAGCTTTAACATCAGTGGTGACTGGTGGGTAGGTGAGTAAAAGACATGGCTTGTTGAGGAGCTGAAATACTAGAGTATGACGATGGTTTACTGATTGCCAACTGTTCCAGTTGGGTAGTATCGCGGAAACTCGTGAACTGTTTTTGAAGTTTCCATTAAAACGACATATGTTTGAGGCACTGTTGATTTCAGTTTAGACTGTCTAAGGTGATGTGACCAATTTTGGATTGGTTCTCCAAGGAGTAAAGATGAAGTCGGTGATGAAATAAGAATGCCTGTCAGGGATGGTGGTATCATGATTTCGACTCTCATCCTGTGCCTGGTGCCAAACAGTGAGTCAGTGTGGCATAAAGTACATGTACCTGACATCACCTGACAGAGCGAACATGTTCAGTACGTTTGAGGCGGCTGCTCTGATACGGCTGAGCTCGCCCATATGTATTGATGTTCTCAAATGACTTCCGATGTGCTGCATTTTGAGCATGCTCTGTTTGGCATGAGCAAAATGGCTTCTGTTCACAAACTTTCAAATGCACGCCTATTATATCATATAGCCCACTAACTTGGCCAAGAGGCACACACTTACCTGTTTTACATACAAAGTGTGGACATTCCTTTGCTCTTTGGTGGTTAAGGAAACTTGAAG